TTCAAATGAATATTGTTGGAAAAAGTGATGATATATCAAGTCGAAATCTTCGAAATATACGTGAAAGTGTTACTTATTCGATTTATTGAGTGATTGCTTTAGAATTTTGACCAAACAGGTTTGTTTTTCTTTTTGTTCAAAATGGATTGGAACAGACTATAGTACTACCCTCCCGCCCCTCAAAAATGGCAGAAAGTTTTGTTCGAGAAATAAAACGCTAGTAGCGCCTCCCGTCCTATATGGTATAAGTACTCAGTATTGTCAACGCTCATAACGCCGTCGTCAGACTTGTCAAAAAAAGTCGAAGTTTGATGATTGGGCCTTCATTTCAGTCTTCATGACCTCTTTCCATTTTGAGGCATTTGGGGGAGAGTTGGCCTCTTTTGTCGACGTACCCTCTTTAGCACAGTTATAATGCTGTAAAGTAATAGGTGGTCTCAAAAAGCCTCTGGATCGCAGTCCTAGAATCCACAACAATAGGTTCATTCTGAACCATAGCTCCGCGATGCTCAAAGTTGGCAACATGCACATCTTTATTAGCCGGACTTGTCGACACATACTGTTCATGGTTGACCATTTCCAAATTTGGTGAAGCTGCCGACACAAAAACACGTGCAACAACCTGTTTTTCTCTGACCTTTGTTGGTTCAACATGAGACGAAAACAATTTTTGTTCTCATCGGCTAGTTGCTTTAGAAGAAATATTTGACATTGTTAGTATGTCAGCTGGACTTGTCACGGCTTCCGCTCTTAAATTTCTAAACATCATCCTAAATGCCATCGCGCTTTCCAACAATTATAATCTCATTGTTTTTAAAGATTTACAACAGCTTCTATCAAATAACATCTGTAAGCCTCTACCTAGCATACTCGTTGCAGAAATGAGATTAACTTATAGATCTAGACTATACAAAACCGATTTTAAATTAACGACCTGCCAATCAGAGCCATTATAAGCCTGCAATCGGATGCTCCCTATGCCAAGGGCTTTTATAGATGTTCCATCTCCTAGCTGCACAATATGTTCATAGTCGAAATCCTTATACTCCGACAGTTTTCTTGGCTTCTGCACATATGTTGGGTGCAACTGTTAAGATTATTTTAGGTTGAAACATGAATTAGAAAACGTTGTGATTGCTAATCGTTTTATTTGTGCGCACCACTGAGAATTTTTAAATACATATTATTGGTTGCCAGTCTGCATCAGAAAATCCATATAGGTTGGCCAAGTGTCTTTGTGAAAATGAGTCCTTTTCCCTTAGTTTCCTTTAAATAGCGAATTCTCCAGCTTTCCACAGTTCTTCATTTGGCTTATCTAAAAATCTACTGAGATATGATACTACAAAAGTCAAGACCGGTCTTGTAGTTACCGTCAGATACATTAGACTACCTATTAATTCTCTGTAAGGCACATCCAGTCTACTTGTATCATCATTATTTATAAGTATATTATAGTTCCTTTCTATGTGGTATAGACATAAAACCATATTAGTCTCATAATCTTCCAGTGACGTCGGAGGTTTTACTTTTCTTCCCAATTTTTTCATTTTTAATGTCTCAGTTTCTTTTTCATTTGTACTGACAGATTCTTCTTGCTTATTCGCTTGCGTCTCCTCGTGTAATATATGCTTTGTTTCTATGTTTTTATTCGTATTGTAAATCACCTTCATCAAATCTCACATCTCGTGATATTATTATTTTATCATTTTCTGGATCCCAAAGTCTGTATCCCTCAGTGTTATATCCTACCATTCATTTCCTTAGCTCTCTTGCCAAATTTGTCTTGTTTCGGTATTATTGTGGCCCAAGCTCTTGAACTAAATATTCTTAGTCTAGATAAATCTTTTTTCTTATAAAACAATTCACTCGGGGTCTTGAATTTTATAGCCCACGTAGGACATCTATTCAATTGATACGCTGCGCATGGAATGGCTTCGCACCACAAATGTTTAGGTAACTTAAGTCCCCGCTAATAAAGTTCAAGTTTTATCGCACAGTGTGCAATTCATCCGCTCAGCAACGCCATTTTGCTGTGGGGTGTAGGGCACAGTACACTCTATCCGTATCCCTTTTCTGTCACAAAACTGTCGTAATTTGTTCGCAGTGTATTCACCTCCATTGTCGCATCTTATTCTTTTAACCTTATTTCCTGAATCTGTTTCCAATCTCAGAATATAATTAATCAGCTTCTCAGTCGCATCTGACTTGCACTTTAATGAATAAACGCAGTGGCAGTACGGTTGTCGCAGTCGCCATTTTCTTCGTCTTTTATTATATGTACTTTTCATTTTAATTATTATTCTAAGGTTAAGATTATTTTAGGTTGAAACACGAATTAGAAAACATTGAGATTGCCAATCGTTTTATTTGATAATTTTGAAATACATATTATTGGTTGCCATGGTGATGGCGGGAATAGTGCTGAGGCTCTAGAGACGCGCTCAACAGCAGCCACTACCTATATAGGTACCAGGGATGTCGTTATTATTATCAGAAACAATTAAAGCTTGTTCATCATCATTGCTCTTCTTCTTTATTTTATTATTTGTGAAGAAGCTGAGACTGCACTGTTTAGTTTTTTAGTGACCCGTTTTGCTGCACACTACCCTTTCTACTGGCAATTGGCTTCCATTGCCTCTGCGCTGTGCCATAAATGACTCTGCTACATCGTCTCCAGCGTCAGCTCGTTCTTCTTCCAATAGCAAACGTGGAATCAGCTCTTCAAGTGTGTCTTTCAAATGGGGCAGACTCCCATGCTGAACGAAAATGTTTAAACCTCTCAAGTAAAGACATCATATTTTGGTGATAACCATTTTATCATCAATAGGATGACCAGCTTGTTTCAGTCTTACACGAATGTCTTCAATTTTTGACAAAAGAGTGGAGACAGAGTCCGTGCCAAAAGCAAGAGAAAAAAACTTCTGTTGAAGTAGATGGACGCTTACGACCTTAGACTTTTATTTTTTATTCCATCCTCTAAGCTTACGACAGTCTCTTTTAGAGATGGGAATAACTGCTTATTTTTTTAAACGTATATATACGTTATGCTTTTTAAAAAAGCGTGCTTTTTGAAACGCTTTTTCACTTAAACCCTTTTTAGTTGAACTTTTGAAGCTAACAAAATCATTTAGAAAACGTTTAGGCGCCTAAAAATGCATTTTGTTATAATCAAATGACATTAGTTCGTCTTCAATTTTTAGCTCGAAGTTCTGATGATAACTGTTCAATGGAAGCGCCTATATTACAATCACTATTACAAAACTCTGTACAATCGGTACTAGAATGCGGCATAGAATTTTGGGGAAATGCGGCGGTTTGGGAACGTGCTTTCAGGCTGCAGAGACGTGCAATACGGGCCGTGACGCGGATTTCTAATGATGAGTGCACACGGTCGTATTTTGCGTCCTTAGGGAACGTATTGACGCTTCCCTGTCTGCTGATACTCCAGATAGCCATGTAACCACTTGTATCAGTTCGCACAGAGATGCGACAATGAGCGGTACACACTGCGATACGGAGGCCGCCTCCGCGGCGATCTTCACTGGCTGGAGAAGGCGACGTGAACCATTCATGCATTGAGCCATCGCGTATACAATCACCTACCTGACGATGTCAGTAGCGCTCCGAGCACGTCTTCCTTTCGCTTTAGGCTAAAAATGTGGCAAATCCAGCGCTCTTTTCTTAATTTATCGGATTTTTTTAATTTTAAATAATATTATTTTATTGTATGTAGGTTACTATATTTCATTAATATCAGTTTATAATGCAATTCATTTAAAATATATTTGTTTAGTTAATATTCTCTTTGACATTAATAAATGATTATGATTATTATTGCAGTAATAACTGATTTTTAACAACGTGGTGCAACACTGCTTGTATCGCAATGTGGAGGTTAAATGATTTAGGACCTTGTTGCCACTTTCGGCTCTAATAGTTATTTTCTTAGTTATTAACTTGGACATAGACGACATCGGGTCACCATGGTGGAGTGGAGACACCAACAACTAAAATGTATCGTTTTGAAGATTTATTTCAGATAGATTTCTTTCTGCCTGTCATAGACAATGCAACGTATCTCTTGCTCTTACAATTTTGTGCGAATGCCATGGCAGCTTAAAGGATGGAACCAAACAGTCTAAGCATGGCATTCGCAATTGTAGAACAAATTTTAGCCAATAAATAGGTTAAAACTCTCTTGCCTTGCGGCGATACCTGCGGAACTTTGAAGCACGTGAGCGTTAAAATTGTATTTTATCAATAATAAATCTGATTTTTCTATTGATAAGGCCTTTGTGTGTTTTTGTTATTTCCTTTGTGTCCTTGTTTTTATACTATATTTTATATAAGGTATTTAAATAAAACGGCGGCTGCGATGTAAGATAGGATGGTCTATATAGTCTGCTTAACGGTAAAACCATATAAGTGACATTTTTGAAAAAAACTGCCTCCGTGGCCGAACGGTTACCATGCCGGACTGCCACGCAGAGGTCCCAGGTTCGATTCCCGGGCCGGGAGAAATATTTGTATGGCCTACATTTATTTCTCTCGTGAGTTTGGGTGTAATGTGTAGTTGTCTATGTGTGTGTCCATGGCACCCGCGACACAGGGTTTCCCTAGTGCGGGGCTATGTTGGTTGTGAGCGTCATTAAAAAAAAAAAAAAAAAAATTCCATAAAAAATCTCCAAATGATGTACCAGTTGTAAGAAATTCACCATCTTTCTGAAAAAATATATTCATTCATTTCCAATGTGTAGCAATCCCGAAACAAACAACAGACAGACCTGTAATTGATTGTAAAATAAGCAGTATAATATAAGTTAGGTGTTTATGAATTTTATAAAACCCTGAATAATGTTGTATATTTTTTATTTGTATATTTATATAAAATGTTCTTAACGAAATTGTTCTAATAAGTAATAAATATATACATACATAATAATGAACAATAATAATTGACTATTGCGTAGATTGTGTATGTACATACATCATACATAGAAATATATTAAATAATTTAATTGGTCCACAACGTAAGTACATACAAAAATAGCAATGTTAGTCACCAAATGATTGGTGCATGAATTTTTTTGAGTATTCGTAGACTACGAAGAGAGCTGCAGTCGCGGGAATTGTCCGTACTAAAGTAGGCAGTAGCCCGTTGTAGAGAGCTAGCGCACCTGTAAAGTAATAAGAATCCTAGTATAGAATACAACACTCATACACATATCGCACCTACGCCTACGGTGAAACCTTGGTGAAATTGCTTTCGAAAGTGTATATTAGACACTTTGAAATTCTCGTCATTCGTTCCTTCATACTTCAATAATTGAAAATCAGCCACAAGTTTACTAACTAGAGCTGTAAATCGTTCTTCATCCATTTTAAATAATCTTAACTCAAATACAAACGAAATTAATTAGAAGTTATGCCGCGAATTACGTAAAAATACATGCAAGATCGAAATGAACTGTGACACTGCACTCGCGTGAAATCAGTTGTTATTGATATTATTCTAATATTATTTCTGGCCTATTTTGAAACATGCCAATATCACCAAACATGCAACTAATTAGAGCTTAGAGTTGTCTATTTTAGATATGTTTATTGGTAGTGTAGGTGAGACGGAGAGAGATAGCTTCCGTGTTTATTATTTGCGTTTTGCAATGTTTACTTAAAGCAATAAGAGACAATCTCGTTTGAACTATGTTGATGACCTTTAAGTTTTTGATTGTGGAATGTGAAATTACTCGACGTGACGAATCAGAGACGCTTTTTTACGAGTGTTTCTTACGAAAACCCGTACCTAATTCGTACCCTAATGGACTTACCAGCTACGGTTTTTCAATCGCTTAAACTTATGTGGTAGCTGGAAAGGCGTATCTAATTCGTCACTTCGAGAGGACATACTATGTACGGTATTTCAGTTGTTTAGACCCTTAGAAAAGCGTACCGAACTAGTCTCTCCTTGGGGGACGTATTGTATGCGGGAAGTCATATACGCCACACTCAGACATAAGTTGACAAGCCCCATATGCCTGTAATTTCACCAGCACCTTTACCCTTCAAAATCGGAACGCAGTAATGCTCACATTACTGCTTGGCGGCAGAAATAGGTAAGGTGGCAGTACTTCCCTGGTTGACCTCCTTCACTAGGAGCTCTACAGCTACTAAATATTACATATTCTTAGGGACTTCGTCTACTGATACGAAAAAAACTGATGTCATAAATCCAACCTGCGTCGTCGTTCGGGCACTTAGAGAAACGTCTCAAATTGAAGAAAATGTTTCCGTTGGGAACTTTGCGACAACTTTTCATTGTTAGGGACAATACTAACCCTCTTTTCTCACAATATCGGCAGCGACCGTCATGAACTTTTGGCTCTTATTGCTTATCTGCATTCTGGACTTGATTACATCAGAGGGGAATATTATCGTCCAGAGGACTAAGCCGCCGACAGCGCCTGCGATCATCGTCTTCACGAAACCTATGTCATCTTTTGATTGACCCGGCTCGGCTAACAAGACTCTTGTACCTAAAAATTGACAAAGCTGATTGTTACATTTTACTACATGCAGAGGCAGTGCCTTGCAAAAAAAATGTATCTATTGGTTATGGAATTAGACAGATAGGACACGGCGTTAGCAAGGTGTGCGTTGGTGTAGCCCAGTGTAACAAGGATAATAATAAAATGAGTTGGAAGGAGTGACTAAACGTTAATATTTAAAAAAATATATACATAAACCTAAAAAAGCAGCAGGAAACGCTTTTTTAAAAAAGGATTTTTTTGATTTAGCATAAAATAAGAGCATATTATTTTAACTTTAAGGTGTAACAATATACTTAGCAAATCTACCTTCATATCCTCCAAAAAAGAAAAAGTATCCAGGCATTTCCCTCATGATCGTAGGTACAAGTCCTCTATAGAGCCCTTGTATGCCATATTGTCGGAATATTTGTTGAGTCAGCTTTATGGGTGTCAGCTTTACAGGTGTCACCTAGGAACAAATATCAAGACCTTAGCAGCCAATCTCGGTTATCGGAGGCGGAAATATGCAATTAAGGTAAACGCAAATGATTTGGTTACAGATAATATTAATGCCGTAAACATTGTTTACTTTTGTAATCACATCCAAACAGTAGCATGCCAGTTAAGATTTGGAAAAAATTATATAACATTGACACTCAAATTGGCAATCATTTTTAAATAGAGATTACTGTGTAGGTTTGTGTTTACAACAACATTTATTATTTTGGTAAAGACATTTTTTTGTCGCCTGATCTTGGGTCACTTAGGAAATAGTTGTAATTTATGTTAATAAAGTATATAAAACCTATAATTTGGTGTTTTATGAATTTTGATGGTGGACCACAGTAGACAATAATCTCGGTACAAAGTACTAAAAAACCGATCTCAAAAGTATGTGGAATTATATCTATTTGCCAAGTTTTATTGAAATCGGGTACCGGAAAGTGCGCAAACCCGGATTCATCCCCTAGTTCGCCACTATACGGAACTTGACACAGGAGATAATAAAAATCGGTTCTCACTACTCGTATATTGAGAGAAAAACCCCTTGAATTGGAGAATAGCAAAATCAACCATTAAAATAATTGGTACTTATAATAAAATTTAGGTGCTATATATATATATATATATATATATGAAGATACATTTTAATAAATAAATATATATATATATATTTATTAAAATGAATCTTCATACGTGAACAGCCACCCTTAGAGGTGGATGATTTTCTTGAAAAATTAAATGGGACCACTACGGAGGTACCCTCTATCCAACATAAAAAGAATCATCAAAATAGGTTCACAAATACCGGAGTTATCGCGTAACACATACAAAAAAAAAATAGTCGAATTGAGAACTTTCTTCTTTTTGAAATCGGTTAAAAATTAATAGAAACTTAATTAGTTTCCTTCAGATCACCTTATTTTAAGTAGATCCTAGTTTAACACTAAATTAACAGTTACGAGATATGTATGAATATAATAGTTGGTTCACGCAATTGAAAAAATACCCAAAATTTGTCATACAGCTGTTTGTGAGCCCTGTACGGAAACTTCTCGCATTGCTTGCAGCTGACATTTTACAAGCTCTGTAGGGCATAGGGTGAATGATGAAAAGAAAGCAGCTAAGAACCCTGCCGTTGCATTCCCTAATGTTGACAACTGGTCTACACTCTGAAACAGTTACAAAAATTGTGTTAACATATAACAACTTTAATGAAAAGTCCTACAGAGTTAAGATCAATTTATTTTATAAGCACCTGTGTTCCTGTGACATGACAGACAAACTTTTGACAATAACCATATGCAGCAAATAACACAGAGTTTTCAGCAACATTTGCTAAAATAGCTGGTGTGGTGCCTGCATAAAGACCTCGTATAATACCATCCTTTTTTAATGTTTGCTTTAGACAATCAAACATGCCTTTGTACAAGTGTGGAAAAGTCTGCATCTTAACTTTAACTGTATCAAGTGGTTGGCCAACATAAACAACTGCGACACCACCTGTGAAACAAAAATGCAATATGGTAAATTATGTAAAATATGGGAGAGATTTTTATGTAAATCTTACCTAAAGAACCAGCAGTGAAATCTATTAATCCACTTTTGAGGCTTTCTGATGACCCTGAAGAGTGTGCCATTATGTTTACCTTTAAATAAACAATATAACTTATAAGAATGATATCAAAATATAATCTTCAATCTATGAATCATATAATACAATGAATACGGTAATAAATCACTACTTATTACACGTCACTACATGCTTACTGAAGAAAAAAAAATTAAAGTGGCTTCTACATGTTGGACCAGTCTCACACAAATCTTGCACAAAACATCTTCTTTACAGCCATATATATAGATAAGCATCATTGTAATAAATAATAAAAGGTTTATATAGTACATACACACAAAAGTACAAACAGTCAATTTATTGTTGATATATCGGAAACAAGTTTTCCCTTATCTACTGAACTTTAGGTGTTATCAGCCATCACTGCCATAATTACATTCTTCAATATCCGTTTACGTTTATATAACCTTTAAATACTACGTCAATGTTTTTGGTTCAAATTCGTTATTGTGACTTAAAAAACATACAATATCTAACTATCATAGGTGTAAGAATATTTCATGCTCAACGTTGATAACTATAGCGGCTGATGCAAGAAACGAAATAAAGTACTAAATAAATACACATGTAAAGTATATGTTACCGCTTGCTAATAGCTACGCTTTTAGCGTGATTTATCCTTAATATACCAAAAATTTTAAGTCTTATTTTATAACAGTAAGGGCAAAGATGTATGTTACAAAATCATAAATTTCAATTATTCCGCCACTTTCGACACCACATGCACAAAGATAATTATGTGAAACTGACACTGACACTGACAGTGAATAAAAAGTGATATAGTGACTATAATTATTTGAAATTAAACGAATACCCGGACACTGGCAGAATTGTCCTCTGTGGACAGAAGCCAAATACACAAAAAAAAAATGAAACGAAGGATATATGTAGTTTTGTTCTGTTCATAGTCGATTATAATAACCATTGTGTCCGTCAGGATGGCTGGACTAAACGAGATACACAAATAAATCTGTGCTCATAATTTACTACCTTTTTCTACTATTTAGTACCTTTATTGACATATTTTATACCTTTGCGCCATTTTGCGCTAACGGAAATATTAAAGAAATAAAGTGGCCAGCCATTCTGAGGTAAGGTTGGCTGGACCCCTTTACGTTTTTCATCGTTCTAGCAGTATACAGGAAAAATGGCGGGCATTTGAAGTTACAAGTATAGCTTTTACAAAGATTATTTTTATTTGAAGTATATTATGAAGAAAAAACGAAAAAAGAAAAAGTGATGAAGAAAGTTAGAACTATATTCTTTATTGCAAACCAAATTACAAAACAATTTATCCTAAAAATTCTAATAATTACGAATTCAAAGTTTTTGCTCAAAGTGATAGAAGATAATGTGATTTAAGTGAAGGTGAAAACAAACATTGACTACCGCCGCTTAAGACTATTTAAAAAACCCAAATAAGTGAACTAAGTTATTAGAAATTGAAAACATAATGTATTACAATCACAATGGAAAATATTACTGATGATCCCAATAATGAAACAAAGACATGGCTCAAATCACTTATATCCAAGCCAAAACTCTTAATAAAAAAATAAACAGTACATAATTTAATTTTTTTTTATATAACTATTTACTACCTAATTTCTATCTAAACATACTTTTTCACTATTTTAGGAAGCTTCTATAAAAAGTTATTTAAAAAAATAATAAAACGCCTTTGCAAAAGGTATCTTCTAAAAAAGACAGCTTATCTCCGTGTAATTTTATTGTTTTAATAAGCGACGGTGACCGCTTTCCATCAGGTGGGCCGTATGCTTGTTTGCTGCCTACATAATATAAAAAAAATTAAAAAGTTTTAAGAAAAATAAATAGTGGTTTGTGATTTTTAACTTTCTGACTTCTCTTGAAGAATTTTGGATAAATATTTCTTCCGATTATTTAATTTGTATTTTTCCACATGAGACACCTGTCAAAAGTTGAAGATATCACGTAACTGAACGAAAACGATGGAGCCTGAAGATTTTTTATTTAAGACTTTTTTTCGTTGTTGTCCAATAATTTTAAATCTTGTTTTACTCTAATTCGTGTTTAGTTATCACTTTAATTTATAATTGACGATAAACAAAACTGCAAGCGATAAATTATCGAAACGTAGAACATAGAGCCTTCGAATTATAGTTTTCCAACTTTTCAGAATTTTTTGAATTTTTTTAATTTGCCCGTCTGTAGTACCACCTTGAGTACATCACGAGTACATTCGTCGTACGTATCCATTCATTTCATTCATTCGATTACATTTTAAAGATTGTATTTTTGAAGTTTGTTACATCAATGAATAATGAATTCACAGACTCACTAAATGCATTGTTATTAGATTCTCAAAGGTAATTAAACTTCACTAACTAATTTTGTAATAAATATTAACATTTCGAATATTTTAGTTTTGACATGACTGGAAATTACGCCCCATAATAAATTTTACTTATCAGTTTCCTATTGGTTAACACTGGCTTTATAAATGAACCAATCTAATAAAATGAAATAAGTTCTCGAAACATGGTTGTTTTTCAGCTTTGTGATGTTTTGAATAACTGCTACGTAATTAATTCTTTATAATTTTAGATTACACTCAATAAAAATGGAGTCTGTAAACTATATTTTGAATTAATTCACGTGTTATGTATGGTATATGTAAATAAATAACCTTACAGTTAGCGTCTGAAAGCGTTTCTGTACAGTAAAGTTGTTATCAGAAATTAACATGAATTTCGTGTATATTCAATGATCTAAGTAAGTGGAAATGATAATTAAATACTTTTTCTACGTTGTACATTTAAATTTCCATAGTTTTACGCTTGTATTATTACAAAAAAGTGTTTGTAATTTTTGACGTGTCGTTTTTTTGGGATTCGTGTTCGGCCGCCATGTTTGTCCTTTTATATTTTAGAAATGCTACAAGTTCTCTAAATGGCTTTGCTCAAGTTATCACGCAAACCTAATGACATGAATAAATTCTGAACTAAAATTGGATGAATGTGAATAGATTTCTGGTGTGAGGACATAGTGATTAGTGCACATATAATCTTACGTCTTTGTTCAGGTATTCAGGATGGTTGTTGGATCAGCGGCGTACCCAGGGAGGCAAGTTCTCCACAAAATGCAGCCAATGGGCATGACTCCCCGCGAATTGTCGGAATATGATGATTTGGCAACAGCTCTCATAGTGGATCCCTATCTTGGTATCACCACACACAAAATGAATATTCGCTATCGACCTCTCAAAACAAACAAGGAGGAGTTGAAAAATATTGTTAAGGAGTTCGTACAAACTCAAGACTACAATAAGGCATATACAAAACTAGCAAATGGGGACTGGATGCCAAGACACTTTAGTAAGAATAAACATCAACAAAGCAAATTGAGAGAACATGTTAGTATACAAAATATAACTAAATATGCCTTTGACTATATAATCTTATCTAACCTAATTTTTATTAAAGTTTTTCTTTTCTGAATGTATTTACAAATATTTGGGTGATTTTTGTTTTGATAAGTTTTATTTATTTTCAGATATACCGCTACTTACGCGTTTTTGACAAAAAAGCTGGTTTTGTCATAGAGCCTTGCTACAGATATTCCTTAGAGGGCAGAGTAGGAGCCAAGATTTCAACTACAAAAAAGTTTATTAAACATGAAAGGATTGATTTTTTGGTAGGGTGTATTGCTGAAATGACTGAAGAAGAAGAAAAACAACTTCTTCATCCTGGAAAAAACGACTTTTCAGTTATGTACAGCTGTAGAAAAAATTGTGCACAGTTGTGGCTTGGCCCTGCAGCTTACATCAACCATGACTGTAGACCTAACTGTACTTTTGAGGCTACAGATCGTGGTAAAGCATTTGTTCGTGTATTACGAGACATTGAGGTAGGAGAAGAAATCACTTGTTTTTATGGGGAAGATTTTTTTGGAAATGGTAATTGTTATTGTGAATGTGAAACTTGTGAGCGGCGTGGTAAAGGAGCATTTTCTGTGAAGAGTCCAGATAATGATGAACAGGCCACCAGGTACAGATTCCGAGAGACAGATAACAGAATTAATAGAACAAAGGCCAAACAGACACAGAAAATTCTCAATGGCAAAAATCCAGAAAAGACTAGAATATCAAGCAGACATAATTCAAATATAGTGTCTCCGCTCAGTATGAAAGAAATGAAACAAAAAGGTTTGACGAAGTATGATGCGGAACTTTTGATAGCTCAAGGTTGTATTGCTGATGTTGTGGATAGGTCAGTGCAAAAAGAGGCTCATGGGAGCAGAGAATCGTCTGCGTCAAGTCGTAGTGAGCGCTTACGAAAACGAACAGATAGTTGTCGGGTGGCAAATGGAGCTTCAGTTTCGTCACCCACCAGTGGCACTCGGCGCAGAGCGTCGCCGTCTCGTTGTTACAGCACAACTAGTTCACGCAGCAGTCATGATTCTCATACTGGCATAGTTCTCAGAAGCCACAAACGCTTGTTGGATACTTGTGCTCAGTCAACTTGTATCAAAAATAGAACTAGTTCTAAAAGACATTCTGAGCCTAAAATAGGAAGAAACCTCAATACTCCAAAATCTGAAACTGATTTGTCTGTGTTAGAGCCAGATAAAATTATTATTAAAACAGAAGCTACACATGTTGACTTGATGGATAATAGTAAATTGGATGAAGATTCTATCGAAAGACCCAGTACTGAAATAGAAATGCCTAAAAGTGAATATGATACAAAGGAATCTCCACAGCAGAAAGCTGAGCCAGATATTCCTTTCCAAATGAAGGCAGAGAGTTCTGAAAATAGTCCAGATAAGCCTAGAGAGCAGAAAACTGAGAATAATGAATGTGTAAGTGGAAAAGAATGTTTGCAAAGTGAAGTTTATGACTTTAGAGAAAATGTTAATCCAAGTGAAACTAAAGATAGAGATAGCAAATTGAACAAAAATCTTAAAGTAGAAATAGCAAATAGGACTGAAGAATCCAAAAAGGAAGATTCTGGACCTCCTTGGTTAGCTGATAACTCAAACAGGGGTAGCGAGTGCCCTTGTACTCCGCCACGAAGGGGATTGAAGTTGACCCTTCGAGTTAAGCGGAGCCCGGTGGTGGAGGAAGTGTTAGATTGCGGAGGCGCGGCCGAGGTCCCGGAGTATGAGGTGCTGCGGTTGGAGGGAGTCGACCCTGACACGGCGCGTCGACTCAAGAAGCGGCGTCGTTCTAAAGAACGCCATCGCAAGCATAGCCCAATCCGTCCTCTACCCCCCATGAAACGCTTAAGATTAATATTTGGTAATGAAAGTCGAACTATCGACTTGCCTGCTGCTATTTCAGCAGACTGACAGCCGCAAATAACCTTACGGTTAATTTTCCACCGTTATTATTCAATTATTAGTTTAATTGTCACTGACTAGGATTATTTTATCTAGTATTTATTATTGTGGCGTGAAGCAGTTTTAAGTATTGTGTGATAAACATCAGATTTTAAATGATGATTCCAACAACATATTTATTAAAGAAAAATGTTCTTGTTAAATTTCATTAGCATAAAGTGGAAGTCAATACTTATACAGTTACATACAGGCTTGCCTTTGATGATTATTGCATGCATGATCCAAAGTAGTAAAAAGTGGGATTTGTAATATTCATTGATGTTTAACAATGGAATTCTCCATGATTCATATTTATTAATGCAACAAAAGTTCTGTCTTCTATTGCCATTTCAATGTTTATGCAAAATATTGGTAATTTGGTTAAATTGATAACAAAATTTCATTTTGCGTCGATTGAACTAGTATGTATCACTTCAAAGTGTTATAATTATTTTGCGTGGCTTTAGCTAAATTATAATTGAGTTTCTAAATGTACAATTTCTGTAAGTATCCTATAAAACAATAAAGAACGTGCGCCCTCTTTGTTAACTTGTCAAAGTGATCCATCTAAACGTATAATTTATTGTACCGACAATCTTGACAAATTACGTGATAAAATTAGAGATTATTTAGCTGATAAACTGTAATTGACGTGGTCCACGCGGTACCCACACTGTTTTAAGGTAACATAATTATTATTTTACTGTAATGCATGTCCTAGACGATTATTTATTTTACTATCTAAAACCATTGTCTAGAAAATTACTTGAAGTTATAATTTATATTTTGTGTTTTCGTCATTTTATTCAGATGTTAAATTATCTATTATATAACAATAGATATTTAAATTAACTATATTCTATAGTTCACACTTCAGAGCTATTTTCAGATATTTATATTTAAGTAATAATAGCATTATTAATTGAAATTAGCTGCAGTAGTTGATGTGAAAAATTAAGTTTACCATAACAGCAGTGACAATGTATGTAGCTGATGTTTTTTTTGAAAATAATGCAGTAGCTAAACATTGTTACTTAACTAATCAATAAAAAAAAAATTAAACAAAGAAATTTGAAGTGACATTTTTAGGGGTGAAAGAGTTTTAATTCTAATTATGTTCACCCGTTATCCTACAAGCTTGGACTATAGAACATAGTTACTCTATTATGGTGACTAAAGATTGAAGCGCACCAGTGTGTTCCGCGTTTTCTTATTTTTTGTGGTCACTTAATTTGAATCGCGTCGCTGTCGATGTCCTATACAAGTCACTGCAAAAATCATGTTACTTCGACATAGCTACCGGAATTTAAATAGTGTCGGCTCTACCCATTAAATCCATTTTTTCCCAAGAGGCTCTTTGCAAGATCGCCACTGCCGACCACACCCTGCGGACTTTGCATGTGATATATACATCAGAACATATGTATGCATCTATAATAGTACCTAGAGGATGTTGACAGCATTAAGCTCTGCATATGTGAGTCTAATTTTTTTGATGGCACATTCAAGGAATAATATGTAATAAAATACAAAGCATATTCCAAAAACTTTGTTAAGAACAAGACTATTTAATTATATTATACTCGTGTTAATAATCATTCATGCAACACAAAATAGCCTATGTGCTAAGTACACTAGCACAGAAATTTGTGTACTATGCAGCTGATCTGTCAACTACCCATCTCTTTTATCCAATTTAGGGCAACAGTACATAAAATAGGATAAGTTTTATCAGAGCTTTTCAGTTATTAAATATGACCAATTAGGCACAGATAACCCTAAAATATATTATTGTCATTGGCATTAATTTGAAAATCTGATGTGTATTTTATACTGCCCTATCTTGTGTGGTTGCATGGTTGTATTTATCTGTAAAATAACTGCTAGAGAGGTAATGACTAGCTTTTGTGATATTCCTTTTGGGAATAGAGAATGTAAAAAGTAAGCTAGAAACTAGTTGCATATTGTTGATAAATAAAGCCATTATGAAATATTTTCATTTAGATATCACAATAAATGCCTCAAGTTTCTTTCAATAAATGGATTTAATTTCATTTTTACAATTTTGTACCTATTTTGATTGTTTAAGAAAGGAGAAATTATGAATCAGTTTGCCTAAAAAATAAAAATTTTGTATTTGGCTGATAGATTATTTACTATTTTTTTTTACTTTTCTACTAATAACAAAATTGTTGAAATTACATTTTACAATAGTGTCCTCCAAATTAATAACAAAAAATTTAGTACTTTGGAGTTAATTTATTAAAAACTTAATTAATGCAAAAGTGACATTGTTAAGCCCATTATAAGTCATACACTTTGTTTTATTTAACTTCTTTTGGGATGTATGCAGTGTGACAGCACTAGTGTCCATACCTGCAAGAATAAAATATAAAATTTTAGATTAGTGTTAAAATAATAAATATCTGTTTTCAAAATGAAGAATGAGCCAAATGTCCAAATTATAATTTTATTATTAGTAGTAATTTTCTTTATTTTCTGTACTCACTTTTGGAACTCCCATTCTCTGTTATCCAAGGGACATACTTGTCGAGTTTTGAGCCAACGGGAGATACAATGGAAGTGGAATGCATGCTAAAAAATACAATTATGCATTACACACAATAGCAACTCGACGTCAAGGCGCCTATTTTGCGATATACAATAGTTATAAAATTATTTGGCTATATATAGTTTTTTTTTATACAGCTGTATAGGGAAATCCGAAACCATAGCAGATACAAGGAAACCGTCTTAGAAACCATTAAGTCTTTTGTGAAAACAATTTTAGCATATTCAATTTTTTGGGCAAGTGTGAGTTATCCATTAAAGAATAAAATTGATCAAATTTTTTTTAGTGCTAATCGACTCAGTTTCATAAAGGGATCATTTAAAAAAATATATAATAAAATGGAGTAATTTTTTTCAATGTTACAGACTCACTTTCTTATGAGTATAATTGTAATGTATGTGAAGAAAAAATCAGGATGTAGAAGTTGGTAAAATTTAATAAAAAAAAATTTCCACACAAAATGAATGAAATTTTGTTAATTTGACCCACTTCTGCAGTCCTAAGGTTTTTCTATCAATACAATAAAATCATCATTACAAAGGACTGAGTCTATCAGCATTAAAAAAAAACTCAATTTTATTAATTTTATATGAAAAATCTTTTATGAAATTTGACCAACTTTGCCTGTCCTGATTGTTTTCGTCTCATACAATGAAACTGAGTTGTTTAGCATTAAAACAATATTTTGATCAATTTTATTAATCTTTATGGAAAACTCATGCTTGATCAAAATTGTTTTCACAAAAAGACTTAATGGTTCCCAAGAGTTTCCTTGTATCTTGTATGGTTTCGGATTCCCCCATACGGTCCAATTAATAAAATGCTACGTATAAAGGATAGCCCAACAAATAAAAATAAATTTACATTACAAACGCCCCATGCCACTGTGCACTCTTCACTGGTGGCCGAAGCCTGGTTGGCCTGGCACTCTATGCAGAGATCCATTATGTGGTTGCGGCAGATTGCGCAGTTGTCCACTACAATATCTGTGAAAAACCACGGTTATGTATCGGTAAGCAGCACAAAAGTGAAGAGGTTATTTTCGTATTATAAAAACTAGCACATACCCCAGGCCCACAAAGCGACAGCATTCCACTGCAATGAAAAATAGCATTTATAACAAAATTAACAAACCTAAACATAACAAAGAAATGTAAATGCCAGAGGAATGATAAAGCAAAATCGAAATATACCTTTTTAACTTCAAATCTTTTTTTGTCGCCTTTACCGCTACTAGAGGAAGCCATTTCCACTTCTTCGTCGTCGACATCCATAGCAGAAGCCATATTTTTGTATCTACCTTACTTTTTCAGATCAAAAATGAATAAAAACTGCACTACACACAATTTATTGTTACAGAGGGAGAGGGGGCAGCGGGCGGATAATTTTGGGTTTTTGACATTGACAGTATGTTGACAGTTATTTACTGTATTGCCATTTTATCTCTTAAAATGTAATCAATGATTATACTTTTTTGAATTAAAGATTTTTTAAATAGTTTTTATATTTATAATTATTTTTATTGGTACATACGTTCTTAGCTAAATTATCCAAAACATTTTTTCCATCTTCTAAGTCCAAAACCCACTTGACATTTTTTGAGAGTATGCGGAGTTTAGTTTAAAGATCGTGTGCATTGCACGAAAACTGGCAGGCAAGGCAATTTAATTTATTTTTCTGGCTTTAGTAGAAAGTAAAGTGGCGGGTAATGTATGAGATTTATTTGCAAACAAATTATAGAGTGGTTAGGTGTGTGTACTGTTTTTCCATCCTCAGTTGGCCAATTTTCCGAAAAACAAATAATGGAAATTTTTCCGGAAACATTCCCGAAAAGTTCATTTATTTATTATTTATTTCGAAGGCTCAAAGGACATATTATGTTCTACGTTTAGGAATATATTTTAAAGTTTTATTTAACGTGAATTATTAAATAAACTTGTATAGCTAAAAGCCACCTAAAGAAATATGAGATTTAAAATAACTTCACAACAGCGAATAAACCTCCAACAACCATACCACCACCATTGATGACCACCACCTTTTATTGGCTCTATCGTTTTCGTTCAGTAAATTCAGCTTTCGACAGGTCTCAACGTTAAATGTGGAAAACTAAAGGGAAAATATTGGAAAAATGTCCGGAATAATATTTATTTTTCGCTGTGTATTAGGGCCAGCAGCCTCCGTTTTGAACATATTTATGTAAAATAATTCAATTGTTCTAAAAAACATGTTTTGATTTTCAAATGTTTTATTCCTTGATTTGAAGTTAGAAAGCACCATCACGACTGGTAGGTATAGTCAAGAGCACGTCAATCTAGACATTTTGTACTTTGGACCGTTCTTATCGTAAGTGGCATAGAGTTGGATTTAAAAGTCTTAAGTGTAAAGCTTGGCGTGCATCTTAGACACCGAAATCACAAAAAATAAGTTTTTCACACTTTAGTAAATATCCATTTATTGCTTTAATTTTGACCTGTTTGATGTTTGAATAAAACCATGACTAAAGTAGATAGATACGTAATTTTGTTTTTGTAATTAGGTGAATAAGTAGACAAGTTTTTACAATTAAGTGCAGATAGAGATCTTCATACTTCATGTCATTTTTTAAATATTATTTGGGGAGAAATTTAATTTAACACTTAGCCCATTAAAAAGCACGTTGATTTAAGATAATAATTATAAAGAAAAAGAAAGATAGAAAAAGACAATTATGTTTGTGTACAGTAGCGTCCAAAGGTGTTAAAACGTAAAAATCGTAATGCACAAAAAATTTTTAATTAAAAATAAGTTGGGAATATTACTATAGTACCATGGGCTTTTTGTAGGCCAAGACCTCTTTGATATCCCATAGTCCCGATTTAACGTCCACGTAATAGACACCCTGTATAATAATGTACTGTACCTTTATAAAATTATTACAATACATGAACAAGGCAGTCATACTGAGCTATATACCGGTATCTCGTCTACCAGTAATTTCAAAGACATTTGAAAAATGCTTTTCTGAGAGATTAGAAAATCACTTCGAAAAACATAATCTGTTTACCTCATATCAGTGCGGCTTCAGGAAAGGGAAAATACTTAAAATGCAGTAATAAATATTGTTGCAAAATGAATGTTTAATTTAAACGAAGGACACAAGTATGGTGAGGTGTTCTACGATCTAATAAAAGCATTTGAATGTGTTGATTATAAAATACATCTTAGCAAAGTGAAATATTATGGTATACGTGGCACTGCACTAAATCTTTTTTTGACTGATCGTATAGGTTTCTGATGGATATTATGGCGTAGTTCGTTGTGAGGAGGTCACGATAGAATACGGGATCCCTCAGGGCGTTGTGTTCGGCCTTGTCCTACATGTGGTATGAATATGCCAAATGAACTTTACTGATGTCAAAAATATAAATAGGCTTAAAATTTGGAATATGTGTACAAAAATTAAACAAGATTTTTGGAATGTATGGCATAGAGCATGTATTGATGTGTGCAACGTAATGATCCAGACATGCTGGGACAAACTATATGGGTTGGTCGAATCTTATCTCTGTATGGATTTAGCGCAAGATAATGCTTCCGTGATAGCTGACAACTCCGCCCTCATAATACTAGTTTTATTACAAAGTTTAAATTTCATTGATACGGTCTCCTGTGAGTCAAAGAAGGCAGCTCCAACACCATTGTCTTCCTTAGAACCATCTGTGAAAATTTTGTAGAAATCGTGATATTTGTTACCCAGATCATTCAGAACAATTCGTCTTAAGTTACATGCATGAGTTTGATGGTTGGCTATAGTAAGTTTGTCAATGTAAGGTTTGATTCAAGAGTTTGTATCAATGAAAGATATCTATATCCCCATATCCCTAAAGAATAGATAGGTAAAATGGTACTTTGGTATACATCATGTTTTTTAAATTTTGTATGATTATACCAATAATGGTGCTTTTTATTATGCCAATAACTATTCTGACATGACTCTAAAAGCTCCTGAACTGATCCCTCAAAAGAAAAATCCGAACGCGAATGAATTGTCAACCACTAACGGAACGCGAGTCAACCTCGCCGACAGAGGTGGAAGGCACAACTCGCACTCCATCACGTGGATCGGAGTTGTCCCAATAAATACACCATATTATACACGCAAAGCTTTATTTTGAATCCGATTCAGTTTTCTTAAGTGGGTATTAGCACAATTACCGTACAAAAAACTATCGTAATCTATTTGAATTCTTATAAGAGATATGTATACTTTGCGTAAATGTTTAGGGTGTACACCTCAGGACCTTCCTGCTAGTATTTTTAAGATATTCAGGTAGGTATTTGTAGACTTTTTCACACGTTTCTTTTATGTGCGCATTTCAGAATAATTTAGAACCAAATAAAGACCCAGATATTTAACCTTATTTAGTTTTTGAATTTGTTTGTCAGACAAAGGTCCATAAATATCTACAGACTTTTCCACCAACTCCAACACTTGACAGTTTCGCAATCATGGATCTGCATTGTACGCACTATCTATATCAAGAAAATACGCCAAAATTGGTTGATTTTTCGAGAAACCTATTTCGATTTGGGTAACTAATTTAGGTACATTATCCAAACATGACCGTGATCTTCTGAATCCCACTGTTGCCTGAGATAATAATTTGTTGCTTCGTGCTATTCTGTCCTTTTCATAAGTATCGAATGAAAAATTTTACACGGACAGCACAAGAGAGAGATTGGTCGGAGTGACGATAACAAATTGTACTGGAACCGTACCATTTCGTAAAATTAAATTAAAAATATGTAATAAAAACAAAATACCTGAATTGGGCAAATTGTATATCATTAAGTATGAAAGATTGTCCGCATCTGGAGCGATGTCCTTGCATTTTTTAAATTCTGCTAAACAAATATCTCCCTCCAAAATACTTTCAGGAATGTCATCAACAATCGGTGGAGAATCACTGACGCTATCGGTAATGTTTAAAGAAATTCTTTAGCTCTATTTTGTTGTACGTTTTGTCTAATGTCAGCTTTACCTTTTATCCACCGTATTTTACGCCACATCTCATACGGACAAGTTTCATCCTCAATACTAGTACAGAAGTCCAACCTTTAGCTTTAGCTTTACAGATTAATTTACGAGTTTTAATATTTTTTTCGTGAAAAACATCATAATTATCTGGGTTCCGTCGAAGGTGTGCCAGAGCTAATCTCAGCTCTTCTTTCAGCCACACAATGATATTATACTGCAGCCACAGATTTCGATAGATTAGGGTTCTAATACGGTTCTGGAATAAACTTACAGCTAGAGTCCAAAGAAATTCTAGACCATAGTATAGTTTCTTCCGATACTAAATTAACTATGTTTACAAATGTGTTGTAGTTGTCTTGCACATCTAGAGATTGTTCCGTTTTCGAGAATTTCTCATATTATTAAAAAGGATGGACGTAGATGGTAGAGTGAAGTACGTTGATTTAAAGAAACATGTTTATTGTTCGGTCTCCAGAATATGAGTAAGTAAATAATACAATATAAAATAAAATGTAAACTTAAATGCTAACCAAGCAATACTATAAATAATTGCAGTTAGACTATAAATATAGTCTATCTATACTACATTATAGGGGCTCCAAAGAAAAAAAATGTGTTAAAGCACTTGTTAAAGCACATTTTTTTTAAACTTAATTACAAGAAATTCTTAATAATTACTTAACAGTCCAACAAAAGTTTACTATTTAATTTACAAACAATTTGGTATTATTCATATGTGGTATTTATATATTCTTTGCCATTTTTCAAAATTTTTACATTTGGTGACAAATCTTCAATAACAATATATGGTCCTAAATAAATGTTATCAATTTACTTCCTACTTGGTTTTTCAACAAAATTAAATCATCTTTCTTATATTTTACAGTATTTATGTGTTTATCATAATTTATCTTTCTTAAACTTTTCCCATCTAATAAATTATTTCTAGCGTCGGCCTGTGCTCGTTGTAACCTGTATCTTGGTTGTAAAGGATAAGCATCAGGATTATATAAAGGTTCTACATCAGAACACAACAAATTATTTGGCAGATTACAAAGTTCTTCAAACACTAGTTCGTATGGAGTGCATTTTGTCTCAGTATGCACGGTCGTGTTGTATGAAAAACACCAAAATGTTAGCCAAGTGCTCCAGTCAGTCGAATTATTACTACACTGTATCCTAAGAAACGCTCCTAAACTTTTACGTGTATTCTCTAACGAACTCAGTTTCGTGGTGATACGCAGTCCAGTGAAGTTTGTTAATTTTTAACAATTCACATACTTCAACCATAACTGACGACATGAACTCTGTGCCTTGGTCCGTAATTATCTCTTGTGGGATACCATATCTCAATACAAAATTATTTACAAATAAACTAGCAACTGATAGTGTATCCTTTTTTTCTATCGGATACGCTTCTACATATTTGGTTAAGTTACATTGCAAAGTTAAAATATATTTACTATTATAATTATCAATATCTAAAGGTTCCATTAAATCTAAACTAACCCTTTCAAACGCTGTACTAGGAGTAGTTGTAATAACCATCGGTTCTCTTGTGTGCCTGTTCGAGTGTTTCTGAATTTGACAATTCTTACATTTTCTTACGAATTCTGTGACGTCATTAGTAATTCCTGGCCAGTAGTAATATTTCTTAATATTATTCAGCATCCTATTTACCCCCGCGTGGCCACTGGTGGATAATAGATGAAAGTCATTCAATATTACAATTTTAGTATCTTTTTCAGTCACTGTTACTACATCATTCAATACTAATACCTTAGGAAAATCACTTAGTTTGTTAATTTCCTTCAATAATATGTTTATAAAATCTTTGTCACGCTTTCTTTTTATAATAACGAGCTCGTTTAATTTTATTTCTTTACAAAAATCTTGTAATTCTCTCGCTAACACACTTACGGTAGATAACGACCGAGACATCACATAAATAGCCGATTTATCGGGCACAAAAACAAAAGAACCATTTTTACTATACAAGTTCTGTAAATTCACTGTTAGGAATACAAGTGGACTGTATTACAATAGGACTGGTATATTCGCCGTCTCAATCATATGTGTACTCGTTTATAATAAATGAATAGGGCTCGACCGTCGCCGGTGGCTGTCGATAAGGCGAGTGCCCCTGCGCCGCTGCCGCTCGCCGTGTCGTCCTCCCCCGCGTCTCGTGCCGAGCGGGTATAAGACCGGTTCGCAACATGCTCCCCGGGTTGAAGTGTGAAGACTTTAAAGAACTGGAAGAGGGCAAATATTATTAAAGGCTCTATGTATTGTGCCTCTCTTAGTTTTTAACTCCGCGACTCTAGTCACTCCATCGCTGCCAGTGTAGAGCTGAGTGACTCGTCCTAAACACCACAGCAGTGGTGGCAACGCCTTTTCTTTGACGAGAACAAGAGAGCCAAGTTTCAGCTTCTTAGTTGAAGTTCGCCATTTCGTCTTTTCTTGAAGCAATGTAACGTACTCCAAGGAAAAGCGCTTCCAAAAGTGTTGTTTCAGCAGCTCAATTCGTCTGAATCTCTCAATGCGGTTGATGTTCGTATCAGGAACCTGCGGCTGAGGAACGGACATAAGCGAACGTCCAATTAAAAAGTGGGCAGGAGTGAGAGCGGAAAAATCTAAGAGATCAGTGGAAAGAGAGGTGAGGGGACGAGAATTTAGTACAGTTCTATTTGAGTGAGGCATGTAGCCATCTCCTCATAAATCAAATGAGTTAATAATAATAATAAATAATAAATAACGCACACACTCAACATAGCCCCGCACTAGGGAAACCCTGTGTCACGGGTGCCATGGACACACACATAGACAACCACAAATTACACCCAAACTCACGAGAGAAATTAATGTAAGCCATACAAACATTTCTCCCGGCCCGGGAATCGAACCTGGGACCTCTGCGTGGCAGTCCGGCATGGTAACCGTTCGGCCACGGAGGCAGTTTATTGAGTTAGTTGTAACAAGCGTCTAAGGTGATGTTTTGTAGAACGAACGGCTGCTTCAGCTAAGCCATTGAAATGTGGTGTATAAGCCGGCACGAATTTAAATTCGATGTCTTCTTGAGCTATGCGACCTTCTAGGTCCGACTGTACGAGTAATTGACCTAGCTCGTTACAAGTACCAACGAAATTGGTGCCGTTGTAAGACGTGATGCTTTCAGGCTTGCCGCGACGTGAAACAAAACGATTCAAGGCGGCTGTGTACGCTTCACTAGGTAGAGCCGTAACGAGTTCGATATGACAGATTTTAACCGAATTGCAAATAAAGATTGCAAAAAAAGACTTTATTCGTTTGCAACCTCTACTCTTTCGGTCCGCTATCAATACCGGCCCAGCATAGTCAACGCTACCATGTAAAAATGGGAACTCTAGCTCCGTTCTAAAAGCTGGCAGCTGACCCATGATGGGTTGAACAGTTTCAGCCTTGTGTCTGAAACATCGCACACATTTATTGACGATATTTTTTGAAAGGTTTTTGCCACTTAAGGGTCAAGGGTGTTTTATATTTCCTAACATAAGTTGAGCACCATCATGTCAATATTTAATATGATATTGTTGAAAAAGCATTTGCGTAAAGTAGTGATGTTTGCTGCGTAACAAAATTGGTGCTTTGTTTCGTAATTTTAAGGAGAATTGTCTAGTCTCCCACCAACCTTAATAATGTCATCAGAATCTATAAATGGACTTAAAGCAATCAATTGGTTTTTGTTAGGCAGAGCCTTCCCGGCTCTAAAAATGGCATATTCATAAGGGAACATTTCCGACTGAGATTTATGTAAAATTAATTTAATGAGTTTTAAAGTTCATGAACTGAAAGATGTCTAGTTAATTTATTTGTTGGATGCCGGCGATTGTAAATAAATCTTTGCAAATATGCTATCGTGTTTTGTAAGTTTGTTAATTTAGATTTATTTTTGATTAAGTTAGTTATTAAGTCAGCGTTAACAGCGTTAATATGAAGCGCAAAAGAACAACTAATCTACTCGGGTAGATCCTGTTTCACGCTAAAGTTGGGCATTTTTGGCCAAAAAGCTTCATTTTTTGATAAATAAGTTGGACCCGACCACCATAACGATGAATCGCTGATGATGTCAGCCTTCAGCCCTCGAGAAACAAGATCCGCCGGATTGTCCTTCGACGGTACGTAACTCCACGTATAACTTTCCGTGCTCTCCTGTATTTCATGCAGACGGTTGCGAACAAAACTTGTAAGATTAGTAGGTGATGTAGATAACCACCCTAATACAATCATTGAGTCACACCAAAATCTGTAAATGGTGATGGGTAAAGATAAAGATGATGATAATACTTTGGCATACAGCCTTGCAGCCAGAAGAGCCCCGAGTAGTTCGAGACGAGGTATTGTTGTTGGCTTTTCGAGGTCAAGAAGTGCACCTTGACTGAACCTAAGGTATCTACGGAGTGAATGTAAGGAGAGGCAAGCCCCATACGCTCGCTCTGATGCGTCTGAAATAACATGAATTTCATGGAAAACAGGGTCATTTGTAAAAACCCAGCGAGGAACCTGTAATCGGCTAAGAAGGGGTAACGTATTGGCAAATGACAGCCATAGTTGTTTTGTCTCTTGTGAGACCTCTTCATCCCATGAACATTGTTCGATCCACAACCTCTGCATTATCATTTTGGCTTCGACAACACATGGTCCCACGAGGCCCAGTGGGTCGAAAATTTGACTGATGACTGAAAGTATGTGTCACTTAGTTACCTTTTCACGAAGTTCAACATTTATAGAACACAATAGAAAGTCTGAATCGCAGATCCAGTTAAAACCTAAAGTTTTTGATGAGACATGAATGTCACTGTTTGAGATATCTAAAACGTTGTCTTATTGACAGAATAAAGGCGCAATTGGATGAAGAATTTCTTGATTATTTGACTGACATTTTCTTAAATTGAATTTGGCGGTCTTTAAAGTGGTTATGACTCCTTTGCAAAGCTTCACAGTGTTTTCAACAGTTGACGAACCGCCTAAATCAACGTAAAAGTCACGTTGAATTTACTGTTTCACGTCACTATCGACAGCACTGGAGGCCAAATTGACCAGACACTTAGTGGCTACATATGGCGCAGATGCTGTGCCATACGTCGCTGTATTAAGCGTGTAGGTTTTTAAAGGCTCTGATGAATCATACCTAAATACAATTTGTTGAAGAGAGCGTTGAGCGGGATTGAGCTCAATCGCTCTATACATATTTTCTACGGCCCCGGTTACGACGTATTTGTGTTGACGAAAACGTAATAATAAGAAGTTAAGGTCTTCTTGTACAGTTGGACCGATTATCTGGATATCATTAAGTGACAAACCAGAGCTAGAAGTTGCAGAAGCATCAAAGACTATACGAAGTTTTGTCGTAAGGCTGGACTCACGGATGTCACTATGGTGAGGTAAAAAATAATTTATTTGTTGAAGATAGTTAGAAGAAAGCTCCTTATTTTTGGTCATGTGACCTAGGCGTTCATATTCGTGCATGAATTCCATGGACCTATCTTTAAAGACAGGCTCCCTATGAAACTTACGCTCCAATGATAAAAAACGGTTCCTTGCCATTTGAAATGAATCGCCTAAGACTGAAGGATTCTTCTTCAGCGGCATAGTGACTATAAAGGCGCCGTCGTCATTACGCGTGGTGTTTAATAAGTTGCTCTGCTCACAGGCACGCTCTTCTGGATATAAGGAGTGCTTAGCTGCGATAGTGTCTAGTTCCCAGAAACGTGATAAGTCTGAATAAGGTTCCTCATTTGCAAAATGGCAAATGGGGGACGAAGACGGTGACTTAAGACGGGCGACGTACCCAGAACTTAGGTTGATTTTTACCTAAGTCAATAGGGTTATTGCATAAGACAGACCAAAATACTTGTGAACCGACTAAGATGTCTGTGACTGATGGTATATTGAAGGAAGAGACCGCTAGACTTATTCCCATAGGAAGAGGAATATTTTCTATGTCTATGTATGAAGAAGGTAAAGCTTTGGTGATATGTGGTAAAATACGACAGTCAATAGCAAGACTATAATAGTTATGGAAGGATTTGATAGTAAGGCTACAAGACTGTGTAATATGAGAAGTATTATTATTGATACCTATCACCGTGGAGCACGCACTACGCCGTGACAAACACAGCTTACCGCAGAGCGATTGCGTAATTAAATTATTCGTGCTGCCGTTGTCGAGCAGCATTCGAGCAGAGTGCACGGTGCCCTTGCCGTCTACCACCTTCACGAGCGCTGTGGAAAGCAAAACATGCGGAGGAGTAGTAAACTGTTTCGACTCGTTTGAAGTGGCAGAGTTGCTAGTTGTGGCAATGGCAGGCTCAGGGATAGACCGTGACTCATGCAAATGCAATAGCGTATTATGCCTTTTTTTTGCAATATTTGGAGGGTACAAGGTTGCAATTATTTTCTAAATGCCCTGGATGTAAACAATTTAGACAGACCTTAGGGTCGTAATCTAGAACTCTACTTAATGCTCAAGTCAGGACTTGAGTATGATTCACTAGAAATCATACTCATACTCAATTTTCGGCCTTAAAGTCCAAGTTATCAATAACGAGCAAGGCTTTAAGAGATGCACGAAGATAATGCGACTTATTGGTATTATCTATATTATATATCTTGCCTGCAATGAATTAAAGAAATAAAAGTATCCCTAAACTCAAGCCAGTGTTGATAGTGACCATGAAAGACGGGTAAATTGATTTTAGGCAATTAGATTTAAAACCACTTATCTGTGCATCCTCGAAACTCGATACGGAACTATCCAGGCGCTCGCGGTGCTGTGCCGGCTGCGCACCGAGCAGACTGCGTGCCGCCGCCACTGGCGCATACTGACATTCGAATTCTTCGCGTTCCGCGAGCTGGTCGTCTGCAGAGTCCGAAAGTATCTCGATCTCACACTGTAATTTGTAATATTCTGCGTATAAGGCATTTAATTTATTGAAGCGGCTTTCTAAATCTAGCAGTTATAAACTACTAAGTTTTTCGCCAGATTGAAGCACTGCTATGTATTTACTAAAGATAGTCAATTTCGACTTTATTCCACCGCGTTAATTAATTAATTTTCCTCAGCCATAGCTATATAGCGGTAATGTGCAACAAAATAAATAAAATCTATTAATATCTATCTATAAGGCAATAAAATACAGCGGGATAGTAGCTCGTTAGGAGAACAAAAGAACAGATGTGCAAACAAACCGGACTGGTCAGCTGACGATGATAAGAAGCGAGCGAGTTACATAAACAAGTTACCGTTATTAGGATTCCTGTAGTTTAAATTACGCAAAATTTTGCTTTTAGCATATGAAGTAAAAATTGATTTAAAATGTACATGAGAGATTGATGTGTTGCGAGCAAGGCAAATGTTTTTGAATTTAAAGAAATGTTAACGAAAGGAAAAGATAAAAGGAAAATTGGAACGAACTCACAAATGAACATCCAAACCGTCTCCTAGATTAATTGTAGATCATTCCATTGTCCTCACGATGACACGCACTCTCGATGGGTCCAAAGTCCGTCGCGTTCGACCTGAAAATGACTTTCAATTCTCGGGCTTGTGCGGTTGCTTGACGAAGTATACTCCACAGGATGATAATGAAGAAGGCTCCTCGAGGTATCTTCTGCCAATGAAGACCACACTGTAGTGCTTCGAGCCTTGATGATGAGTTGATGATGTTGACCACACTTTTAATTAAGACGGTGAGAATCCTAAAAGACCAATGTGAGGGTCCTAAGGGACGTGAAATAAAAGTGGATTGTATTACAATAGGACTGGTGTATTCGCCATCTCAATCATACGTTTATAATAAATGAATAGGGGTCGACCGTCGCCGGTGGCTGTCGATAAGGCGAGTGCCTCTGCGCCGCTGCCGCTCGCCGTGATTATTATCAAGTTTTCGAGCTTGTGCTCATGACCGATACAACATGCTCATGCATATCTTTCAATGCTTTAGACTTTCACCGGTATACGGCTCAATGTGTCTGCAGCATATGTTCAGGGACGGCACAACGCTGCCGTCCCGGAACATAACTGATATCAAAATCATACTCTTCCAAATAGAGTCTAATTACTTTGTTAAACGGCTTGATGAACCGGTCATATTAAATAAATAAATCAAAGGCCTGTGGTCAGTTTTTATTTGAAACTTCTCGTCATACAAATAGGGCCTAAAATGACGCACAGCCCACACAATATCTCATATCAGCCATCTCATATTAGGTTGGTTGTCCAGTGAGGTAGTTGGGATGTCATCTGGTTAGCGACGTATAGTGAAACAGGAACAATTTTAGATAGTGTGTTTATTCGTTCATGGTGCAAATTGAAGTGAATTAATAATTTAATTACAATATAAAGAATGTTATGCCTACTCAACATTTCCTTGAATATGCAATCCAGTGACCTACTAAAGAAGTCACGTTGCTTCGACCCATTACAACTCCCCCGAAAAAGACCATGGTTCAACACCGGTTTCCGAAGAAAAAAATGATATGATATTAAAGGAAACATTGACTTACATTATTCATGTCTATCTAGTAAGATAATTTAAACTAAAAGTATATTTTTTTTTAAAAACACAATTAAACAATGATAAAATAAAATAAAATATTTTAAAAACAATTATCCTTTTAACTAAATTTATTTAAAAATCTTTGTATTATTCTTATGTATTATGTATTCTTTATTATTTTTTACAATTTTAACATTTGGTGACATATCTTCTATCACCTCGAATGGACCATCATATACATTATCTAACTTATCTCCCATCTGTTTTCTTATCAAAATTAAATCTCCTTTTTTATAAGTAATAGGATGACTATTCTCATCATATACTAATTTTCTATAATATTTATTATGTAACTAATTATTTGTTACCTCTTCTTAAGTTTTTTGTAATCTATACTTCATTTCCTTGGGATAATCATCATAATTATATAGAGGGTCAACGCCTGTCTGTAAACCACTAGGTAACAAACATTGTTTTCCGAAAACTAACTCATAGGGCGCATATTTTGTCTCGGTGTGGACAGTAGTGTTGAAACAAAAACACCAATAAGGTAACCAGCTACTCCAGTTACTTTTATTTTGTTCATATTGAATTCTCAGGTAAGCATCTAAATTCTTAAGGGTATTTTCTAAAGCTCCTATGGTTTCGTGATGATACGAAGTCGAGTGTATTTTATTTACATGTAATAAACTACATATTTCTACCATAATAGATGACATGAACTCCGTACCTTTTTCTGTAATTATTTCCTTTGGTATTCCATACCTTAAGATGGAGTTATGGACAAAAGCTCTAGCTACTGTTTTGGCATCTTTCCTTGGCAAAGGATATGCTTCTTCAAATTTCGATAAGTCACATTGCAAAGTAAGTATGTACTTATAATCATTACTAGAGAGTAAAGGACCCATAATGTCTAAACTTATTCTTTCAAAGCTACGCTTATTTAATTGACATTGCTTACATTTAGTTACGTATTGGGTTACATCGTTGGTCATACCTGGCCAAAAATAATGTCTTTTAATATTGTTTAACATCCTATTTATTCCTGCATGGCCACTAGTAGGAAGTAAATGGAAGTCGGTTAAAATAACCCTTTGTTCGTCTTTTTCAGTTACTTTTCTAACTTCTTTCGTTATAAGTAAACGTAATGTAGTTAAACCCATAATATTCTTAATATTACTTGTAAGTATTTTTATGTCATTAGCGTTGTCTCTCTTTTTAATAATGAGCAACTCGACAATATTCAGCTTTTTACATAAAGAGTCTAAATCCCTCACTAACACCTATGGGGTGGACAATGATCGGGCATCAAGATACATAACTGATTCTATGGGTACATAAACGCATGTGTTAGCAATAACTTTATCAGTATTTTTCTTTGCTATTTCGTTAAAAAGTTTTCTCCTAAAATTCCATCTACTGAACATGGCATGTCCTTAAAAACATAAAATTTCTGTCTAAAAACTTGTCCTTCATATAGCAAATTAAGAAAAATATAACCTTCTGTTTGTAATTTTCCACTAACACCTTTTATTGGTATTTTCTCATAAGATTCCTGTGTAATCAAACCACTATATTGGCATAACCATTCATATTTTATGACACATATGCTCGCTCCACTATCAACTACTAGGTTCAAATTACAGTCGTTTGCTAATTGAAATGTTACGTTATTGTTGGTATTATAATTCAAAATAATATTATCTCTATCTTTATTCACGAAAACAATTTTAAATTGTTTCGTTCTATAAAACTCGCGCTATCTCCCGTAAGGGGGTAGTCAGTGTTTGCATGTTGGACTTGTGAAGGTTGGCGCGACCAAACGTTCCTTTTTGAGTTACCTCGCTTATAACCACGTGACCTATTGTAATTATTACCTAGGTCAATGTTTTGATTAACATTTCGCGACTGATTGGAACGGTGATGCACAAAGTTGGGTTGACCTGATGTACCACTACGTTTGTAGTTGTTTTGGTAACCAGTTCGTCCACGTGATTGGCTATTACTATATTTTCTAACATTTAATATATGATTCTGTGGCGGCGATAGAGATTAATTAATTAATTAATTCCGCTGATGATTCGAAATTACGAGACGCAATTATCGTACTAAGACGTGTGTTTGACAAGCCATCTCCGAATCGTTTCAGAGCTAATTTCTCGTTTAGAGGGCGAAGAACTCTAAAACTATTGTCATCACCATCTGCTTGGGCCAAAGTCAAACTAACAAACAATTCTTCTCGTTCCATACCAAAACTTTCTATCGATCTATTTCCTTGTTTGGTACGCAATATTTGTGATTGAAGAGCAACTGGTGATTTCTTTTGAATTAAATGCTTCTTCATATCAACAATCAAGTCATCTACGGTGGTGGAAGCAGATTGTAACCTAAGTTTAGCACTCTGTGACAGTTTAGTTTTCAAGACAAAATTAATGAGAGCTTGCTTATGCTTATCCTCAATCATAGAGCTGTACAATTGAATACCGTCTATCAATTGTTTAGTTATATCTTCTTGACCGTTTATGACCGGTATCAAGGCGATAGCCGTTTTAATATCAAAACAAGAACCCATTTTTGTATCTGATACTGGTTCTTGAGGATTTGAATTGCAAACGGTTTCCTCTACACTAGGCCTATAAGTCACTATTTTTTTTATTTCGGTTCTTAAAGAAACTATTTCTTTCGCACATCTATTTATAATCTCCCAATCGAATTCACTTATTTGATCCGCTAGATTATTTATGTCAGGCACAATTTCCTGAAATTCTTCGTATAATTCATTAGCCTCTAAATATTTATTATAAGCTAGTTTAGAATCACGGCGTTCTCTTAATTTAATTATGTATTCTCGCAAATATCTTAAACTTCTTAATATTTTATATAATTTAGACTTCATTACAATTTATAAAATCATTAAGTAAAAAGTAAGTTAACGCATGCAATTGACCTTTAAAAAAATAAATAAACGGAAATAACAAAGTAAAACGTGAATACATACCCTACTTGACCCATTCGATTACAATAAATTTGCACTTACTTGTCTACTGCGTTAAATTTGACACTTCGTTCGCGCATTTCCTAATGTGGTATGTAGTCACGGGTCGTTGAACTTCAACTTCTCTGGAACTGGATTTTGCTGTTCGGGACCTGGGCTGCGCTGATGATGCCCGTGCTGCTACGTGGGCCGGGCTATGCCCTGGACTCTGTGGACCGGGATTACCTTGGACACCGTTGCTACATGGGCCGGGCTATACCTGGACTCCGTGGGCCGGGATTACCCTGGACACCGCTCGAGCTCTTCTTACGACGACAACACGGCGGAACGGGTAGTATTGAAACCCTTCTTATTTTGGATCTTGCAGTCTCCTTTTGTGTATGATTTTTCTTCTATAGTATAATACGTCGAATCCATTCTGAAGAATCAGTGATGATGAAGTATAATGACGGCAGGCAGCTTCTGATGATGTTGTGGTTTGAGTTGAAATCTTCAAGTCATGTGGCAGTATTCAGGTGTTGCAGTAGTAATTCACAAATTTCACAGGTTGCGGTTGGTTGGGTCGCCATCTCTTCATGAAGTCGAATTGTGTAATCAATCTATCGCGCTACTTTTAAATTGCTTTTTTAAATAAACTTCACCTTGGAATTTATAGTTCATTTTAATTATTAGATGCCACTACTTGGTGATTCATTAGTGACAAGCCACTTAAATTTCACAGCCAAGTCTACGGAGACAAACGAAATGTCTTTTGACGATTGTTGTGCTATATTGTCTAATTGTAATCTTGAATTACCATTATTCAAACAAACTCACACATATATATTCTCGAACATGGCATTATATACTAAGTAGCCTTGATTATCAGTTTTATGTGATTTTGTAAATTAAAACACAAATATTATGCAATGTGATTCTTTAATTCTATTTCTTCACTATCTGTGTTGTCTTTATCTTTATTTTTCTTATAGCAATTTTTCCATATTTCGTAAAAACAGACTGTGGCTTGAAACCGGTAGCAGACGAGTAGCGGCACAGAGACGTGAGTGATTAGAACCCAAGCCCACACTCCGTAGAATTGCATCTGAAAAAATATATAAAGAGTTACACTTATTTTAGCAGGGTTTGTTGATCTTTTAGTTTTACTTAATCTGTACAACATGTGCCTGCGTTCAATCGAAGAAGCTGAAGCTGCTGGGCCTTGAACACCGCCGTAAAGTTACTTGATTAAGTAACTGCATTCTCTTATATCATTCAGGATATAAGAGTGTGCGATGGAATTGCACGATTTAATTCCGCCTTCCCTTTTCCATGATTGGGGGACTTGACGTAGGCTGGGGTTCCACCCCTATGTTGTGGATATTTCAAGGATTCTCACAAAGCGTAACGCTTCCACATTTATATGACGAACGGCAATATAAGGAATTCCCTGCCTGCAGACTTGTTTCCTGAAAGCTATAACTTTCGAGTAATATAATAAAATAAAGAGTAATAAACATTATTTCATTCAGCATTCGCCATCATCGATCTCATCGTCACTTTCCATCAGGTGAGATGGAGGTCAAATGTATACTTATTTTGTAAAAAAGGGTTATTTCGACCTTTGCTATTACACAAATACTTATATTATCCTTCTTAACGTTTTTCAAAGATTTTTTTAAATATCAGTGACGGGACGGACAAATCATGCGCTTAGTGGCAAGCGACACGCCTATCCATAACAATTGCAGTGTCACTCAGAGTTTTAAATCGCAAAGAACTTGGGGGCACTGTCACTGCGCCCGTAACCCTGAGACGTAAGTTGACAGTCCCATGTGCCTGTAATTTTATCAGCACCCTTAACCTTCTAAACCGGAACACAGTTAATGCTCACATAACTGGACGGACTTTTTCATTATTTTTTTTTTGACATTCCTAAGTATTTAAAGTTTAAGTATCGAGTAGACAATGCAATTTTGAACGGATTAAATATCTACATATTTAAATCAATAAAGCTCATAAGTTTAACCTGCATAGGATGAAACTCAGCTCGGGCGTTTTTCACCCTGTTAAGCAGCCACAATGCGAAGTTACCGACCAAGAGGAAGGTTACGAGCTGTCTTCCAGGCCGGCGGCGACTGTTGCCGGTGCACCGCCGCGACCACGCGTCCAGGACTAGCAATGTCTGGCACGAACTCTGGATCAAAGCGCATAGCGGAGATATTATCCTGCAAAGAAATAAACTGTTCCGAAGGGACCGTTAGTGTTTGATTTGGTATACTCATACGTATGGGTTGTGTGTATGTGTTGTGGGTTGGTATAATTGATTTATCTTAGGTTGTAGATCGAGAGGCATGTTGTACACAAATAGATATAAGGCAGTATGTGATAGAGAGTCAATTAGAGATGAAACGGATAGTGATTTGGCCAGATCCGAATACCGGATATACAGCGAGCACCTAGGCCGGATAGCCAGATATCCGGCCGCCGGATATCTGACCCACTACCGTAAACATGTCGTAAAGGGTTTACAGCGCGCATCGCCGTTATTGATTACTGAATTCACATTGACGATTTGATTTGTTGTGGTCACTTGGTTTTTATAAAAATGATTAATTTATTCGATAATACAAACAAATATACAACAAAAAATGTTAACAGTGAAAAAAATCGCAAATTTGGCAATATTTTAATAACTGTGTTGTTTGTTTGTTGTGCTGAATGCAAATTTCTCGCTGTGGAGAAGGAAAAAAACAATTACGTAATTCTTTGGATGTATTAAAATTTCTAGTTGCTATAAGTATAAGCCTAGTACTTGATACGCCCATTATTAGTTTGTTTCAATTTGATTTCATTAATTTGTTTGTGATCTAACTAATTTTAAGTCTTGATACCAAAACTTTTAATCTACTTGCACGTTTCATTATTGTAAGTACTCATTGTATTTGAAGACAGTGCAAATTGGTCGTGATCGCGATCCTTTCATTTGGTGTTCTGGCAATAACAAGTAGTACTTAAAATGTTACTAAGTTTGCAAGACTTTGTAGTGAAAAACTGTCCTCTGAAGCTGGTCTCGTTTATGAAAATAAATAGAACACACTTTTACTACTTAATGCAGAAGTACTGGTCTTCATCCACCATAATTTGCCTTTATTGAAATTTGAGTAGTAAATTTATAGACGACATTATTTAACTTCATAGTTCTTTCAGTTATAAGTTTAAGTAATAAACAGATTGTCAACAATCCCGTAGTTACCGTTTATCTTATTACTATTTAATCCCTAAATCAGTTTATTTGGCGTACTGACTGATGATGAATTTTCAAAAGTTTTAAACATCCGGTATCTGGCCGGATATTGTTCTACTATCCAGTCGAATACTAAAAATAGGCCGGATAGGCAGAATACCGGATATCTGTTTTATCTCTAATGTGAATGGTAGTGCAAAAGGCTCTTTTACATGTGAAATAAAATTAATTAATTACCTCGTAGTTCTTCTTGCTTCCGGAAACGACTGTATAGCAAATCCCGCACCGATGATTTGAAAAAGATAATAAAGGTAGACTCCGCATTGTGTGACCAATAGCAATGCATGTTCCAAAGGCAGACTGGACACTGTCCGACGCACGGCTAGTGCACGCATTTGCTGGATGCATACTCCGGATCCCAGAGTCATTAAGATAAATAGTATCGTTTCCCACACATTGATCTGTTTCAAACATTATCGCTTATTTATTTATTTATATACTGAAATTTATAACTACTTATTTTTAAGATACTAACAACCTCGCAGGTTTATATTACTATACACATAATAAATTTACCAAAAATAAACTTTTCAGTTTTAGTTGTACTATCTGACAGTTCTTAGATTTGTATTTGGTATAATAAGTTCAAATGTGCAAGCGTCCTCCGAGATAACTCCCACATCTGTCCTGCACAGAGTTATTACGTTTAGGGCGATCTATTTATATCTATTTATTTTTGTATGAAAGTAAAATATGATGAATTATTAAAAGTCATGGAACAAAACTTATTGTTTATGATATAAGTAATACGGTTCTGCGAGGCTGTTAATATTTTTTAACAATAACCCTGTACATTGAAAAATGTAGCTGTAGACAGTGCAACAGGGAAAATATAATAGTGAGCTGGAAAGGAAGTAGATACTACCTCTAACATAGCAATCTCTACATGTTTCTTATTATGAAATAGCCCGTTGAACAGCATCAGGCTGACTATGGTACCGGCCAGCACAGCGACCCCCATAAATAGTCCCTTGTGAGCGTTCCCGCAGTCCACGGAAAAATGGTTGTTAGACTTAGGCTGACCACAACAGGGCCTCTCTTTGTTTAGTATCGAATTTATTGGTTTCTAAAAAAGTTATGATTTATTTGATTATAAACATATAAATATTAGAAACAGTTTTTAAATTCGGCGGTAGAATCTAAAAATATTTATTAGTGATATTTACCGTTCCCGGTACTGTGCAAATATCATTCCATATCACAGCGATGATTACAGAACATAGTAGACTGTATTCCACTCCACAAGGTCTCAAATAAGGATTGACTGCTCTAATTAGTGGTCTGATCATATCACTGAGGTTACATTGCCAGCTCTCATTCTTTACTGTGATATTTGTGAAATCTGTAAAGTTGTCTATGTAATCGTATTCTTCAAATATGGTAGAGTTGTCCAACTCATCGATGATTAGTTTAGAATGTTGTCCACTGATGTTTGCGTATTTAATTAGTGTTGGACGACCGTAAGCAACGGCACTGATGTCGTCTCTTGTTTCTGCAATGACTACGTATAACCACTCGCATACGTTGGTGGCTATTAGATGCATTAGGCCGAATCTGTCGAGTACTACCCCTCTCATTGGATCTAAAATCTGTAAAGTAAAACATCTTTAATAAAGCGCAATAAAAAAACTGCAGCAACGTCATAACATTAACCTATCTGAAAACGCACATTAAATTAATTTTATATCAGGAAAAATCAGAAGTTGTTGTCTGCTTATGAACGGTTAACACCTTTTAAAGTATGCATAAAATATAAGAGGGACGTGATCCTTCCATTAGACACGCGAAGTTGTAGTATAGATTTAATGTACCGACATATATCTACATGTACATATTATATACGTATTATCGTGTGTTTCAAGTTTGCGATACAGCTTGTAACACTATATATTATTAACTGCCTCTGTGGCCGAACGGTTACCATACTGGAATGCCACGCAGAGGTTCGATTCCCGGGCCGGGAGTAACATTTGTATGGCCTACATTTATTTATCTCGTGAGTTTGGGTGTAAAATGTGGTTGTTTATGTATCCTATGTCCATGGCACCCACGATACAGAGTTTCCTTAGTGCAGGGATTGAGTGTGAAAAAAAGACTATCGCCATTTCATGAAAGGCACGCAAAGTGATCGATACGAACTTCTAGCGTAATTTGGCCCCACTTAGGGACTTTGATACATATAAAAATTCTATTACCACACTTCAAAAATCTGTCAATGGGAAATATTTTGTCGTCCCGACACTTTCGTACCAAAATACCTCTTCTGTACATAAGACGTACAAAAGTCTTTAAGTGAAATTTGTTTCTTATAATGACCTCCATAGTTAGCTCGCTTAGGATTGATTACGGCTATATATGAGATTGGATTGAAGTAAATAATATTGTCAGTATCGGTAAACACTATATTATTTTTAATGTTTGCACCACATTATGTCAGATAAGTGTCGTTCCGACCTCTGGGAGGAGCCGGATAGCTCCGAAAACTGGGTGAATAGAATAAGTTACCCTTTAAACAAAATGTAATAACTGGCTTCTAAGACTGTATTAGATTTTACGACGCATTATGAATACTTTTCGAACCTTAATATGATCAGAAATAAATGGTAATGTAATTAATATGAGAATAGCATAAAATATACAATACGTTCATGTAACTTACATCAGTATATGAGAATATAAAAACAGTCTGAACAACCATGAACACAATACGTAGAGCAGGCTTCACAGCTACGATAGCCAATTGACAGTCGCCAGACAAATCAAAATATTCGGCAAACTGTAAGCAAGAGTAGATGATGGATCCTACGCTGAAGCCCGCCACTCCCATGTGAAGGTAGAAGCTGCCGTAGCGAATGCGTTTCACGTTTTCTAAAAGGGAAACGGTAACAAAATCAAGCGACGAAAAGTAGCTACAAACAATGTCACTTATTTGTTCAAATGGATATAATTCATCCGAGAAACATGCTAAACAATATTTAAAGAAACTGGGTATATAGGCATTGATCTATTGCGGTGCCTTCAGACAAAGAACCTTGGCCATATACCTACAAAGAAATTCAGGACACAATATTAGCCATCCAAATTCCGTGATCTCATTGTGTGCTTTGCTAGTGACTAAGTAATTTTGTATATGTTACCGATGATATGTATAATTCAGCATTCTAGAGAATAAACGTAAAATGAATCATATTAACACAATAAAACATATAACTTTTAAATTTTTTATTGAATTGATATCAATTATTTTTTGTGAAATTACTCCACTACTTTGTTATAATTATTAATACAAAGACCGCACACTCAGAAAAAAATCCTTCGATCCGGCCGGATTCGAACTGACGTCTTCTAGCTTACCGTGGCAGACGCTATACCAAATATTAATAAAAAAAATAATTATAACAAAGCAGTGGAGTAATTTCACAAAAAATAATTCAATAGAAATTTAAAATACAGCGAATAGCGACATCTCTCGCCAGGAGTGGTAGCTGTAAAGGTGATAAATCTTTCATAGATTTCTCATAGATGGCGCTACGACTAAAAAATCGTTGAAAAACCAATTACAAAGACACGATGCAAGCACATAGAAGAATTCGTGAGGTCCGCTGGTTCGTTCCGTGGTTTAGTTGGTATAGCGTCTGCCACGGTAAGCTAGAAGACGTCGGTTCGAATACGGCCGGATCGAAGGATTTTTTTCTGAGTGTTCGGTCTTTGTATTAATAATTAAAACATATAACTTTATAATAAATATTAATACCTCGTCGTGTCGTCACAAATGGGATAACCTGCACAACCTATGTGTTTACCAACCGAGATAATAATTATTTTTTAATCCAACACGATTCAAAACACAACTTACCTTCATTGTCTTTTTTCGCTAATCGAAGGTGGTAGAACGTGTAAGCCAGGAAAAGCACACTCACGACGTACAAGTACATGGTGAAAATCTAGAAATACGAATGACGAATTTCAGGAGATGAAGAAAATATATTGAAATTGTCATTAATTCTAAAATGACTTCTTACGTCAGATGTGATGATAGCCGAAAGCCCATTTTGTATAGTACTCGTTATTGGCAATGCTACCCCTAAAACTATTAATAATTTCGCGTAAAACGCTGACAGCACCACTGTCATTGATTCGCTGAAACAAATGATACATTGCAGCAATTAACGTCATAATCTAACAGAGCGCCTAATGAAAATTGTTCGAAATCTAATTTATTTAATTAATACAACTATGCATAATATTTTGCTGAAAACATGTTTTGGTCGGATGATAATGATTTTAATTCTTTTTAAAATTTATAGTTTTATGTATGTTTTTGATTTCTTAGTAAGTAATTTAATATAAAATATTTTAATTAGTATATATTTTACGTTTATTACAATATTTTGTGCGTCAATAAGGCTCTGAATCATTATCGAGTTCTTAGGTTGTCATGGTTGTCCCGCATTGGAAATAAAACTACTTTCGGATCTAAATTAAGTCTAAATCAGAAATCAGAAAAAGCAAGTACTACTACGCAATTTAGATCCAAAAAACTATTTTTTTAATCAAAAAGCGTTTTATTTCCGATGAACTGATTGATAATAATTTTTATATCAGAAAAGATCTACATTAATTATGAGAAGGATATTTTTTATACACTATACATATTGTTTTCACCTCACTAGCACGGAAAGGCTTTCTTTCTCATTACAAATCTGCGCGCAAAAGCGTTTATTTCACGCTAGCGTGGTAAAGGTTTTTGAAATTCGAACTTGACGATGAACTGGGTCACACGAGTAAAAATACTCTTGTGCTGTGGAGCACTAACTTTTTCTTTCGATATTTTATTCTTATTTTGTTGACATTAAATTGACAACTATAACTAATTTTGTTTGTTAAAACTGATTTGTTCAACTGTTTTTCTTTCATCTACCATTTTTCCCGCTATAATGAAGTAAAGAGTAGTGTGTTTCGATCGGGAGCAAAGTTGTTTTCCGGCTCGTGCCTTGAAATCCTCGCTAGGCTCAGGATTCTATTTTTGAACTACTCGATTCGCTCGTGGTTAAATCATAGCCTCCTTCGCTTGGTCAGGTTTCATACAAGCACTTGCGTCAAACAACAACTTTGCAGGCTTGCAATAACTTTGTTTGCTTGAAATAACTATTTTTTGCTAAAAGGTAACAAATAAGTATTATAATGTAACTTGTGTATTCATATGTGACGTCAAGTATTAAAAATATTACGCATCGACGGATATTGAGCGCATTAAGTAATGTTTGGTTAAAAAGCTTACTCGCCATGTGATAGCGACTGCCGTCGAGGCCTCAGCGGCGGGGTTATATGGCTTACACTGGAGCTGTTGCTACAGGGCGGTACCAGACTTAGTCTCGGAAGAGAATGCGGGTGCTCTCTGAAAACGAAAAATAACCTTAGTTGAACACATGATAATGTTCTTTTATGTACAGTAAAAAATACAAAGTCCGAACGGTCATTTTATCGTCGGATATCGTCGCGTCGTTTTGTTTGTTTATAGCGTTTATCGGCTAATAGACGGTTTAATGAATCTCGCAGCGTCACCTTTCATCCTCAGGCACGGCGAGGAGCGGCTCGGACCGTTCGCGTTTCCATTCTCTCCCTGCGTCCTGATTTGATTTCTCCTTATTTTTCGCCATCGGCCACTCTCGATCGTCTCCCTTACATCCGCGTCACTATTTTTATTTACTTTTACTACCCACGACACGTCTCGTCTAAGCCAATTACGCGTAATCGAGAAAAGCTAATTTCACTCAAAATATCTACGCTGAGATGTTGTCGCTCGTAGTTCAAATTACTGACTGTAGAGAGACGCCTCGTTCTTAATCGCAAGTATGTGTAAATAATTGTCCGTTTTTAAGACGGGTGAAATACTGCATGTTATAAAAGAGAAGAAGCAATATTTAACTTCAGTGTTAAAAATGGCAAATCGTTTGATAGAATTTTAGATTACCTACTAAATTTTCACTAAATTGTTTCTTTAACATAAAAATAATGTTTACGTAAAATGTAGAACCACTACTTACACCTTGAGCTCTTTTTATGATGAACCATTTTGAAATGTTCAGCTGTAGAGTTAGTACTACATCGATCCACCAATTTGTTAATTAGAGATAATTTTACTTTATGACTTTATTCATTTAACGTACATCAAGTTTCGCCATATAGTTGCCTATACTACATTTGCAGTGAGCTGTAGATATTTTTTATGAATTTAAAAGAACATTTTTTATTTAAACAGTGATTATAAAATATAAAACTAACAAAATGTCCAAGTACACAATGCCTAAAATAGTTTCCCTAAGAATGTGGCTTGGTATGACGACAGCAGGTCGACAATGAATGTAGGTTTTTATTGTTTGGTGATGTGACTTCCTCCAAATTTTCGTGACGTAATTTGTTATAATCGATTTTTGTGTGACAATCATTGTGCAATCAAATTTTTTTTAACAAAAACATTAAAATGTCAATACTTCATGAATATTTTCAATGTTTTTGTGTGTAGTATCTGTACTGTATTTTATAAAATATATTTTAAAAGTTTTATTATATTTTCTTAGCAAGAAGGCACTTTACTAGTAACTAAATATTTATTTCGAAAAATCTGAGGTTATCAATAATTTTCGTAGTCCATGTTCACGGAGTGTCGTAAATCTGCTTAGGTTGTAGGCTAAGGCTGCGTCTTCAGGTAATTAGCGTCTGTGGTGTCAGTTTCAGACGACCGTCCTAACGAGGCACGTGCCCGCCACCCCCTTCTTACCACTGCGCGGTTAATTAGATGTCCACCTCAAAATTCTTATTATTAATACGTTAGTGTCTGTTTTTCTGTAAAAAAATTCATAATTATAGATACTTGTAACTTTTAGACAAACTTTTAATTTTACTAAATTACTATTAAGTAATGTTACTTTCAGTTGTTTATTGTATTTTATTACTTACACACTTTAGAAATATATAGATGGGGTTTTTAACTCAATAGATTAGTGATTTTATTTTGCGTAAATGGACGTTTTTACCTTCTTATTTTAATAATAACAATAATAACGCGCACACACCCATAGCCCCGCACTAGGGAAACCCTGTATCGCGGGTGCCGTGGACACACACATAGACAAACACAAATTACACCTAAAATCACGCGAGAAATAAACGTAGGCCATACAAATATTTCTCCCGGCACGGGAATCGAACCCGGGACCTCTGCGTGGCAGTCATGGTAACCGTTCGGCCACGAAGACAGTTAATATTTTTACCTTACATCTGCCACACATTTTTTGACAATCTCAGTTGCCCAACGGTTTGCGTTGTGGGCACTGCATGACGAAGTCCTGGGTTCGATTCCCGGTAAGAACAATAGACTTCTTGTGTTTGTGTTCTGAGAAGTACGATTTCCGTTGCTCTGGTACTCATAGTACAGGGAATTCCCCGGTCTTAGATCAGGTAATTGGTCTGGTTGTCTGGCACATTATCATTATTAATGTATTTTTGACAGCAATTTGTTTCGACATTTTAATATTTACATGCCGCTTGTTGGCAGAATATGCTTAACTTTTGTATGTTGTTCTAACATATAATTTTGATGTATCACATTTTTAAGAAATAAATGATATTCTATTCTATTCCACTTTAAGAGGTTTAATTTTTCTATGTTAGAAAATAAACGATCCTGATTTACGGAAGATAGAACGGAATATAAATACTACTACTATAGTAATAATACCCACAATTCATGTTACGTGATTTTAGCTTTGAAATCTGTACATTCTAAACAAAATGTTCTAACTGGAAATTATAAAAGTGTTATAGTGACATTTCATCAAAAGGGAAGTTGCGTTTATAAATTGTTAAATAGTAATTAGAACATCTAGAAAATCTGGTTTTCTGGAAAATTTTGTTTTCTACATAGAAACGATTTCATTAATATCTAAATCAAATTTTTTCGACACTTACCGATTGTGCCTGTGTAATTTCCTTTCCAAACTGGTACTCGTCTGCCTGACCGGGTGAAAATAGTGGGAACTATGATCGAAGTGATGATGTTCTCGTGTCCTAAAGATAGTCGTAATATTGAACACTTACTTAACTGGTCATCTGTTCTTGCGTGTGTGATATAATTACAATTTGAAATGAGTATTGATTTTAATTTTGCCATTCACTCTGTAGTGTAGAAATGAAAAGTTAAGAGCAGTAAGTGTCATTGTCTCCTCAGTTCCCAGTTTCGTTTCTACAAGCTTTTAAAAAAATAATTTAAAAGAACATTTTAACGGCACTTACCATTCAATATCCTCTTCGATTACGTCTTCCATTTTTCTTTTCGCCACATGTAATGACAGTTTAAGTAACTTATCATTGAAATGTTCAGATAAGTATAGTCTCGTTTTTATCTTTTTTTACATCCACATCCCGAATTTCGCTGATCTCAAATCGGCAAACTACAATGATAATGAGTGCTTGTAAATTGAACTTTATCTGGTCAAGATTTAGGTATCTTCGGGCTTAGGTTAATCCAAGAATGACGTTATAATGTATTAGCAATTGTTCACTTCCACGGTTAAATTTCGTGATGATTCACACAAGGTCATCGCCGTAGCTACTGAAATGAATTCCTATGAGGTATGACGAAGGAGTGATCTCAAGTTGTTTGTCCTGCCGCCTGAGTAATGGAAAACAAAGATAGCTAGGCATTAAGCGAGTAAGTATTGATATTGTTTTAGTGATACTTTTTGAGTGGCAAACGAATGAACTGCGACTTTATTTTGTTCTACAGTATTTGCTTTTTACCGACTTTCACGTATTTGAAAATATCCAGTATAATCTTACAAAGTAAACAATATTGTGTAAATAATAGGTGAACGTAGGTAATTTGGTACATACTAGCTAATTGCGTACTACTTACATGCTTATTTCTATTACTAATAAATAAATAAATAAATACCACACGCAACATAGGCGCTTTGTCGTCGAGTTGCGGATACCAGCTCGTTGCACCAAGTACCAAGTACTAATAAATACATTTGTTGTTTGCCTAAATTCGTATGCTTTAAATGAATACTGATGCAGTTAGCAAATTGGAGACGTTATTTTTTTATTTTAAGTTTGAATACAAAAAGTACTATACATATATTTTACATTAAAATTTTTTAATAGTCAAAATTATATTTAAATACTCATTGATCTTTATTCCATTGTCCATAACCGCAAGGTAATAATACCTAATAAAATTGTATGTATAGTTGAAAGTTAATGCAAATAATTGGTGCAAAGTGGTCATACGTTCTGTGACCAAGGGCAACGTAATAATTGCTCCATCACGCTTCGCGTTGTCTGCTACATTGGACACCATTTGCGTTGGATATTGGAATGTACAAATATTTAACGGCAATGATTTTCCATTCGATACTATTGTTAGCAAGTTCGCTTGTAAATGTTGGTAAACAGCTGTTTTTTAAAACGTCGACTGACTAATATTTCCGCATTTAGTTAGGGTTTTTTCGTGAATAAAGTAGGTATGGGTCAATAAGAATTAAAAGTATTATACAGTTGTAAAAAAGAAAAGAACATTTTATTTTGATAAAAATGTACATATTTTTTTATGCAGTACTTATCGTATCTTTAGAGCAAATGCAATTTTACGCCATGTTCAAATAGATGGGTTTGCTCTTGAAGCTGTTCTTCCAGATCTCAAAGAGGCAGATGGTGGAGTGGAACCGGTAGAAGATGGCCAGCGGCATCGAAACGTGCGTGATTATTGTCCATGCCCACGGCCCATAGAAGTTTAGGTGAGCCGGTCTGAACTCCGCACGATTCTGAAAAAAAAAATTTATGGTAGGGCTATTCGAGAAAATTCTTATTTTTACTCATTGACTTTTTTACTCTTAAAAATAACTTGTAAGTACGGTGATATGCCAGGCTATACACATTACATATCAAATTAAATTAAAAAAGAGCACTTCCTGATTAGCTCAACAGTTAATCAGTAACATAAATATAATGTTTAGATTAATAATATATATTGTATATGTATTTGGCTGTAAGTTTTTGTAGGTGTATATCAGTTATGCTTATATTATTATTTTTTCTATTTATATTTACATTCAAAATTTTATAAGTCCAATAGTTTGTCCCGCAGACTGTCTTTCTACACCACGGCTACAGTTGTCTGGAACAGATCACTTCAAGAGATAAGATCATCTTTGTATGAATCCTTTGTAACATATGTTTTTAATGTCTTTTATTTGCGCAATAAAGAATTTATTAAATAACTACTTGACGTATCATTTCCGTGATACGAATGTTTGTTCTAATTTGGAACTGTAAAATATCTCTACTGTTCACAAAATTGCCAACCCCAAAGGCCTAGTATAATAGTAATTACCTTTTCCAAAGTATTGATAGCCCACATAGCCATGTTGGCAACGAGTAAGAACGTGACAAGTTGTCGGCCGGGTTTATTCCTCCGGTGCTCTGAGGTTTGGCAGCGGCGCCACCACGCGTCGATTATAAACAGAGATTGGAGAATCGTCTGTAAACAGGCACAAGTTAAAACGTACTGAGTTGGAGGAATTTGGAACTCTGATTTTGAATACGACACAATTTCCAACAAGTGACATTATTGATACAAAGATTGAACTAATACAAAGGAAAACTCCTTCGAGCCGGCTGAATTTGAACCAGTATCTGTTAGCCAGACCGGGGTTAACTGCTCGTCCAACTGAGCTATGGAACGAATGAGCAGACCTCATGAATTTCTCTGTGCTTGTTACAGATTTTTATTTTTGATTTAAATGATTTTTTTCGCCCTATCGCATGGTTATAAAAATTTGACATTCAGTATTTCAAGTAAGTCATTTTACAAAAAGTAAGTTTTATTAATCTCTTGAGTATAGATCAAAATCAAGTCATTACCAATGGTCGGAAAAAGGTGTTCCACATACATAGGTACATATATAAATATAGCTACAAGTAGTGAAATAGAGTTGTTATAACCACCAAATTATAATTTATTACTTTTGTATCTATAGATTTGGAACACCTTTTTCCGACGTATGGTCATTTCATTAAAGACCTTTATCACTTATAGGAAGTTATAACGTATTAATATCCACTTTAATACCTTATAACTTTTCTTACTTGACAGAAAGACAGGAATTCCGAGAAAAATCCAGTGAGGCCGGTGCCCATAGCATTTCTTATAGTGTGATGGCTCCCGATCAGACTGAACATGCAGTACACAAACATTCCTGATTGTGCAAGGATCAGTAGTGAAGTGTCCAAACCTAGGATCGCTGTGGGAAAATTGCAAATATTTGTTAATAGCCTATTCTTAAGTGTTTAAAAGGAGATTTATTCTAATTTCAAGAACTTTTCAGTTATAAAATCGAAGTGTTTGTTACCATTTAATGACTAATGCCAAAAGCTAATAGCGAAATGGGGCCATATGTATAGAATTTTAACAATTTATAATCTTAACCATTTCGTGGTGAAATGGTGAAGATATCCCTTTTCAATTACTTATTCCTGGGGTTGCACATAAGTAGCTCATGGCTTGGTGGATAACATTATTGTATTTTATGAGATTTATTTTTTGTAAGTAGGCTCGTGTAACTGGCCATCATCGTTACAAATTCAGTGACAATAGTGAAGTTTATAATCGTGGATTGTCGTTGTCTTTATCTATCGTTTTTAAATTGTAGATATTTGTGGATGGTGTTCGTGTGAATGGTCATACATCAATTAAGACTATAATAATAATAACGTACATACTTAAAGCCCCGCACTAGGGAAACCCTGTGTTGCGGGTGCCATGGATGGATACATAGATAACGAATTACATCCAAACTCACGAGAAAATTAAATTTAGGACATACAACTAGTTCTCCCGACCCGGGAATCGAACCCGGGACCTCTGCGCTGGCAGTCCAACGTGGTAAACGTTCGGCCACGGGGGCAATAATTGTAACCCACGTTGTAACCCAATGTCGTTTATTGAGGCTACGGATTCGTTGAAAATGGTAACTAATAGGGGTTAAAGTATGAAATTGCCGATTTGTACTGAAAATCTAAATTGTTTATTTTTTAAGTTTTTAACAAATTTATTTAATCAACATAGTTGCCATTATTATCTATACATTGCTGCCATCTAATGGGAAGGTTATTAATGCCTTTGCGATAGAACTCCGACGATCTAGACTGCACAAACTGTGTGAAAGCATTTTGTACTGCCTCCTGGGAAGAAAACTTCTTGTCACGTAGATAATTGTCCAAATCACGAAAAAAATGGTAGTCCGTTGGAGCAAGGTCTGGTGAATACGGAGGATGACGAATGGTTTCTAACTGCAGTTCCTGAAGGGTTAAAATGGTTTCTCGTGCTGTGTGAGGTCTCGCGTTGTCGTGGAGCAATAATGGTGAAGATCGATTCATGAGTCGGGGCTGTTTTACTGCTAGTTTTGTCAACATGGTTCGGAGTTCGGCACAATAGACATCTGCCGTTATTGCTTGACCAGATCGGAGAAAACTATAGTGAATAACACCATGCTGAGACCACCAAACAGTTACCATTACCTTTTTATTGGTAAGTTTTGCTTTAGGACACTGTTGTGGCATTTGACCTGGGGTCAGCCATTGCATTTTTCTTTTCCGGTTATCATAAAGAATCCACTTTTCATCACATGTTACAATTCGATCCAATATTCCTTCATTTCTGTACCGGTTCAACAAGGCAACACAAGTTTCAACACGCGTTTCTTTCTGCAGATCAGTCAAATCATGAGGCACCCATTTTTCGTATTTTTTTATTTTATTGATTTGACGCAAGTGAGTCAATATTGTGGGTAAGGTAACGTTAAACCATGCCGCTAATTCCTGGGTAGTTTGACTAGGATCGGCTTCCACTATCTCTCTTAATTCATCGTTATTCACCTGTGTGGGCGGTCGTCCTCGTGGCTCGTTCTTTAAGTCGAAATTTCCATCACGAAAGCGTTTAAACCAAAATCGCACGGTGCGTTCATTAGTAGACCCCTCTCCAAACGCAGCATTGATATTGCGGGCTGTTTCTGCCGCGTTAGTTCCGCGTCGGAACTCGTATTCAAAAATCACTCGAATTTTCGCAGTATCCATCTTTCTTGTCTAAATTGAATAACAAAAACAATTGAAAGTCGATATTCAAATGTTTCAAATTTAAAAAAAAAATCACAGAAACCATTTGAAAAAAGTTTCATTCGAAAACCTCAAACCATGAAGATTCTATGAAAATTCAAAGAACCTATTGCAATAAAACGGCAACTTCATACTTTAACCCCTAATATTAATTGAAATCTATTACATATTCCTTTTAGGTATTATAATCATACGTAAACTTCGATTTTGCCCAAATAAGGAGGCAGGTACTTATTAGATGTCTTTCTAATGATTTTGTACTTTTCTGGAATAATCGTTGTATCATGTTAAATTGACAACTACTTATTTTCGCAGGAACTAACAATTCACATTTGATATGTTTATCATATTCAAATCATTATCACACAAGGTTAGAAACCCTTGACAATTTTTTTCATTTTACTGATGATTCAAATGTCACAGAAAAGTGTCACCATTACGGTATGCATAATGACTCTATACTAAACGTTGAAACGTGGATACTTTCGAAAAATATTATACAAAATACTTTTCATATAAGTCTATGTGTGTGTCCATGGCACCCGCGATACAGGATTTCTTTAAAAAAATTAGTTACAATAATGCCTAATTTTAAAAATATAAAATATCCATCACAACAGAAACAAAGCTTTTCTATTTTTATTAAAAAAAATTATTTTGTGTATCCTGAGGAAAACCCACTGTAAAATTTTAATGTTTTACGAGTACATTAATACCGGAACCTGAATTTAATATTTGTCACTGAATAAGCTTCTTCTCCATCGAATCTGATGCGAGTATTTAAACATTTTTTTGATGACGGAAGTTTGAAAGCTGTCTCTCCCCGCTCAAACTAGCATCGTAGACTACATAGGCAGTGAACAAACTTGTACTGTTCATGAGTGAAATGGACTTACAACAACAACAAAACATAACCCGTTTTGCGAAGTTGAAATCAAAGTCGACATTTTCGTAAAAATAAAATATCAAAAGCTACCGGAAAACCAGCTGGCGATTTATAATTGTATCTTATACAATACACATCATGTCTCTGTGTATTTTTTGCCTTTTCCGCTACGAAATAAAACTACTGATGTTTGGAAGTATATGCATTATAGCAGTTAGAAATGCTGTAGGCAACTTACAGCAATTTATTGATTATATGATAAGGCAGTGGTTGTAAGATGAGAGGTTTAGATAGATACGTGGTGTATATGTGAGGAAAGAGACAAGATAATAAGTTGTCTTGCAGGGTAGCACAACCGCATAAATTATAAAATAAAGGGAAATTGCAATTTAATGTTGAGAAAAGGGTCACGTTCGAACCAAAAATTTATCAATTCTTGCTGCTCCTACCTGACCGAGACAGGATTTTGAAATAATTATTTACTCAGATGTTGAATTCTGAAGCTTCAGTGAGAAATTAGAGAGGAATTGTTGATAGTATTTTTTCCTAAATAAATTACATAATAATGACATATTTGTCATTATTATGTAATTTACTGATACCCACACATCACATATAACTGAGAAAATGACTAAGAAACTTGATGAAGTTTTTTTATTGTCTCAGTTATATGTGATATGAGGTGTAAATTATCCGAGATTTACACAATATATTTCACAGATTACTTACCTCTAGATTTCCTTTTATAGGGCAATGATCTCATTTGGTACAGTGCGCAGCACGAGACTATAATAGTCACAGTATATAAGATAAGCTCACATATGTTCACTTGAAAGATTGCATTCTGTGAAATAAAGTTAGGCTTATGAAAAAAATATTTAAAGTTTTTATTTAATCGTATTGATACTACTCGATCGTAATAGAATAGGTATTACTCGAAGATAGCCCAAAATTAGCAGTTGATGAATCTATATCTGCAGATACATGACTTGTAGATATCGTAATTCTATACATATAAGTCCCTCTAATACTTTTGGCATTTTGTTATCTACAGAAAGTGAATGCTGGGCCCCATATCTATAAACAATGACGACCTCTTCATTTCTTGCTCACCGGTTTCCATGGTGTCGTCATCTCTAAGATCCCGGCTTCTGTCCCCGGCCGAGTCAATGTAGAAAACACACTTTTCAATACTGGCTTGGGTCTGTATGTTTGTGGTACAGTCGTTGTTCCCGATTTCCGTAACACAAGTGCTATATTGATTACTTTGGGATCAGAGCAACGTATGTGGTGTTGTCTAATTTTTTTTTAATGCTATACTCACAGTTATAGTTTCAGGATGGTGAACGAGGACGAAGAACATAATGAGGGAGATAATAGTGAGTACGATCAGAAAAATGCCCGCGAAAAGGCCGCGGTGTGCGTGGGAGCAGTCCAAGGAGAAGTGATGTAACTTCGCGCGGCTGCCATATGGGGAACCCACGCCCAACATTCCCGCTGGAAGTAATTGCTATTTTAGAAATATTTTTTCATATTTGCTAAAATAAGGCGGACTTGCCTTTCATTGGCAAAACAGACAGAGGTTCGTGTTCTGTCAGAACAGAAGGGTATTTTGTGTTCGATCTTTGTTATTAATAATTATAACAAACTAGTGGAGTTATTTATAGTAATTTCACAAAAAATAAATAAATATCATTGTAGTAAAACAGAATATTCATTAAAAACCAATATTATACAGATATTTGGTGAAAATTGACGCTGTCAGCGCAATAAGGTGTACTTGGTACTTGGTACTTGGTGCAACGGGCTGGTTTCAATAAGGTGTAATCCACATCTTTTTTTCTACTGTATACTTTCAATGATACTAAACTACATAATTATTTTATATTTGGGTGCTATTTTCATGTATAAAAAAATGATAGATTCATGAATATTTTTTATAAATGAAAATAGCATCCAAATATAAAATAATCAAGTACTTTAGTGTGATTTAAAGTAATATTGAAGAATGCGGGTTAACCACTGTAGCGCTGATAGCCTCAATTGTTCAAGGAAATAGGTATTTCTTTCGAAATTTAAATTTATCGTGTACAATTCGATATGGTTTCTACTTTTTTTGAGAACTAAATCATCTAAAAAGCTGAAGTCAGAAAGTCAGAAATCATGGAATGTCGAATATAATGCAACACGTTATGTGTTTAATAGTAATTATTGCGAATTTAGAGTTACCGAATTGTTGAAGTATTTTTTCCGGTGTCACTGAATTATTTCGAGACTGATTAGTTGTTTTAGAATAATGGAATTTCCGCTCGAAGTCTTCAGGGGTGCATTTAATCTGTAAATTACGTGACCTTTTAGAATTGTTACAAACAGTTGTTCAAAATGTTGAAATTATACAAAAATATTATTTTTTACCTCTTTCCACATTTCATACAATATGACGGCGCATATGAGGGAATATTCAATAGTGCACGGAAACAGGAAAGGTGATGCATTTTGTAACAATCCTCCCATCATGTTTCCTCTACGGCATGGTACCTCCGCGGTTTCATTATTCTTGACAATAACATTAGCTATCATTGAGTGCTCCAAATGATGTATTTCATGCTTCGTTTCTTCCACAAGGACGTACAACCACTCGCAAAGATTTGTAGCTATCATGTGCATGAAACCAAACCTTTGTATCATTTTGTGACTGCCAGTTTCAATGTCTTTGTTCGTGAGGAATATAAATTGCATTTGAAGCAACGTGAGAGCCATTCGTACTACCGGGGTTGTAGCAGTAAGCACCGAACGACAGCGATCAGTCAACTCGAAATATTCTCCAAATTCTAATCCACTGTAAACCATAGAACCAATACCGAACGCTGCCAATAAAAAATAGGTCCTGTATTAAAATCTGTGTTTGAAAAATATTTATTCAAAAAGCAATCTAAAAGTTGCATTAATTATGACTTAAGTTTACCTATAGCACCAAGTCTTAAATAAAAACTTCCATATCGTGATATCTTGTCCTTTTCATTCTTTTTAGTTTTGTCGCCCGGGGTAGATTTCCCATTCTTTTCTTCTCTATCTGTGTCTGCTATAAGAGAATAAAACGTTTTCTTTTATTTGAATGGTGGACGACGGTCATTAAGGAACATACGTATGAGGTAATTTTCCACGACATTTATGCCGATGGCTGAAAGCGTTAGAATGCAAACTAAACGAAGGCAAATATTTCTTGGGGTCGCAATTATGCAAACAAGATGTGATTTTAATGTCGCATTTTGTTAAGCAAATGTGGCTAATTACAGTGGCTAGCAAGTTAAAGAAGATACTGTCTGCATATTGTTTTGTTTTGTGAAATGTTGAAAATAAAATTTAGCATTTTTCGTTACCATTTGATAAATCGGTGATTAGCACTTAATGGAAGTACTTATAGAAAGTTATTGTTTACTTACCAAATTCATGAATAATCATGCTAACAGCTTTTTGTCGCATTATGTTTGCGTATTGAAATATAACAAACAATACTGATACTAGATATAAATATAAATAGAAACCCTGTAAAATGAGAACCTTTGTTAATATTATTATAGCAGTGGGTACTGTAATATCGTTTATAGTGGTAATTTTTTTACCTGATAGTAGCCATCCGTTACACCATTGGCGATGACTTCTGTTACGGGAAAAGCTAGACCAAGGACTACTAGGAGTTTTGCGTATAGGGCCGACAAGGCCTTGCTTAAAGCATCTCTGTAATCAAATACATAATTCATACAAAATTCATGTTAACGTATCACATACTTGTACTTTGCTGTCGTAGGAAACTAAAATTTGGGCTTTGTAAACAATTGTTGGTTGTAATTTAAAGTACCCCAAATGATATAACAAAACGTGAAAGTAATGGACAATTTGGAGTCAAAATGAATTTGTGCAATATACTCGTAATATTAATAAACAGATAGCGCAGCGCGGCGAACAGTTCGCGAATATTAGTGAATAAAGGGCCTGCTTTTGAATGCCGTTGGCGGGAGGTATTCGCTTTGTTGAAGATATAATGCGGACGGTGACATTATCCGACTGGGAATATTGTTCACCTTCAGCTAAATAGATTCAGTTTCTTATGTACAAAACGCCATTGACTCGAACAATCCATTATTTGGTTAGTGTTCATACGAGTTCTCTACTAAGAATTAAGTGTCAACAATTCAGTGCATTCAACTAGTGAGAATCGAGGCAATTATCTCTTTACTTGTGGCTCGGGTAAATTTGTAATCCCAAGATTCACTAACTGCTACTTAGATAAGACCTTAAAGAAACGTATTATGTACCTATAAAACAGTTCACCCGCGGTTATTAAGGATGAAACCAAACATGTAAATAAAAAAAAAATTGGAAAATTATTATTTCACAAATTTTTGTTAAATATTTAGCAATTATTTTATTTCAGAACATGTAACCGTACTAAGTGTCACTTGTCAATAATTTATATACTTTAGTGGGAGTATGTTTCAGCTACGAAAATTGTACCCGTTTAAATTCTAAAATAAAAAACACAAACTACATTACTTTCCTTTATTTGAAAGTAAGGTTCACGACTTCGTAAACAACTTGAAATAGTATTTCGTTAAAGTTGATATAGTTCCAAACACGTCGTTGGCAGATGCGTCGACCGCATCGGGTGACATTACCACTACTGTACATCTATCGTCACCACTTGCGATACGAAAACATGATTTATGTTCTCCTGTTATCTTTTAAAGATTTGCCAATGCAGTTGGTTACAGGGATTTTTCCACGAGATTTTTTTGAGAAATTCTATTGCTTAATTTTTCAATGAGCGTTGTAAAGTATATTATTATAATTTATATAGACGAAATCAAACTTTATTGGTTTTAACTTAATTTAATTTTTTAAACGTTTTTGTCATCTTAATGTTAGACTTACTGTCCCAATATTTCAGCAGTGGATGGCAGATGTTCATGTATTGTGGAAGCCACGGATGTGCGAGAATTCGGCCCGAGCTCGGAAAGAAATCGTTTCTGTGTGGCGGCACACAGCGCCAGTGCTTGCGACGGCCTGCGGAACGCTGCTATTATTGCTGATGGGCGCCTGTAGTTGAGTTAGCTGTTAAAATACGCTGTGCAAATTCTTATTTTACCAAACTAGGTTGTTTTTTCATACGCTACTAAGGGTGCGTTCCCATTATGTCGTGACGATAGATAGTCGTGCAGTTTAAAGTGACATGCCTTGTATATGAAAATGAAGTTGTTAACATATAGTCAAACACGATTAACTGCCGTTCACGACTCTATTTAACGTTACGATGACAGATTGTTGTGACAATAGGAAGAGGTAGAACGACTGCCCTCAGACGATATTTAAAATGTCATGATAAAAATGTGACGACAGATAATTGTAGCTTCTAATGATTCTGTCATGCAAACTACAAGGCGGCTGCCGTGAACTGACAAATTGTCGTCACGATCTAGTGGGAACAGCTAGACACGACAGTAGTTCAACGATAAAATAAACGTTCACGACACAGTTACGACAGATAGTCGTGATATGGGAACAGGCTAGACGCGACATATAAGACAACGAAGAAATACATTTGCAATACACTGACAGTAAAAAACCAACCTAATAAAGTCATAGAAATATAATAAATTGTTATATTTACACATTACACACTTGGCGCACCAAAATATTCAAGGCATGAAAGGCAAAGAGAATTATTTATTAACTGTAATAATATTTATATTCTTTGTATTACTGAGCACCACTTTTATCTAAACATCAGTTCATGTTTAGCTTCAACAATCACCAGGTGGCTAGGAAGGCTCATATCGTTTTTCGAATCTTATGAATCTTCTATTAGTGCCTACTAGAATAACTTCTACTACAGCCACTTGTTTAGACAACATTTATACTAACGCCGTACCTAGTAATAAATCTATTACAAATAAATTAACGTCTGATAATTGCGGTAAATTGGCCACTTTAATATAACTGTTGATAAAGTGCCGAAAAAGGATATCACATGTGTTCCGATAAATAATGGTCGACTTAAATCTTACAGAAATAACGTAATTTTTAAACTAACTGACATTCCGTACGTTAACAATCCCAATAAATTGTATAATTCAATTTTCAACACAGTGAAACCTGAACGTGATAATGTTTTTAAGTCCATATTGATAAGCATTAATAATTCATTGAAATTTATTGATTGGGCGATAGTGAGAATTCATAAAAGTAGAGAAAGGCTATATGATCTTTACGATAAAAAGACCTATAACACTAATAACAGTTTTAATGATTTTGTTAGGAAGTATTCGAAAATGTTTAAGCGTGTTTATGTTGCAGCCAAAGCAATGTTTATAAATAATAAAATTAAAAGCTGCGCGAATATAGTAAAAATGACTTGGAATATTATAAACAGCGAAACTGGAAGGGTCAAATTTCATAACTTAGGTTTTAAACTAAGATTTAATGACAAAATTGTGAACATAGACGCAGAAGTTGCTAAAATATTTGAAATTTTTTTTGCTGACATTCCAATTTTGACTACTAACTCGTTAAATTCATCCCCCACTGCCGCTGAATCCTTACTAAAAGAAAGTAATGCAGTTAGTACTACTAATTTAAGGTTCCGTCATTTATTTCCAAACGATATTGTTAAAGCCTTTAAGTTTATAGACATAAAAAATACTGCTGACCTTGATGGTCTTTCAGTCCTGTAATTAGTTCTATAGTTGATTGTATTGCGCCTTACTTAGCCTGTCTTTAATAAACGTGTTGATATGGTGTCTTTCCTGACCTCATGAAGCAAAGTAAAGGTTATTCCACTTTTCAAATCTGGTAGTACGTCAGAGCCCACCAGTTTCAGACCTATTTCAATACTACCAACACTCAGTAAAATCTTTGAAAAAATGATTCTAAATCAGATGTGTGCACATTTTTATAGTAATAACTTAATGTCACCTAAACAATTTGGTTTCACTCGAGGTCGCTCTACAACCGATGTTGGTGTTGAGTTGATGAAACATATATCTGATGCATGGGAATACTCACATGATGCTATTGGTGTATTCTGTGACCTTTCCAAGACTTTTGATTATGTGCACCGTGATACTCTGGTCAGGAAACTTCGCCATTACGGTGTGGCGGGACGAGATCTCGACCTTCTTAAATCGTATTTGGGTGGTAGGGTACAGAGGGTCGATGTTAACGGTACGAGACCATCAGGGTCTACAATTAGCATGGGTGTCCCTCAAGGTCCAACTCTAGGCAAATTTTTGTTTTTAGTTTATATTAATCACTTACCTAGCCTCATGGAGGGTTTAAAACGTGAGATAGTATTGTTTGCTGATAATACTTCATTATTATTTAAAGTTAAAAGGCACCAATGTTCCTACGACGATGTGAACAATACTATATCTATAGTAGTTGATTGGTTTGCTGTTACTTAATGAGAAAAAAACAATACAAATAACCAGCTCCTTAATGAGAAAAAAAAAAAAAAATTGTGTGAAATTTACATTACTCAATGTTAGAGAGACGGCTACAAATATTGTAGTTAGAAACGAAAAATTGAATCTTGTGGAAACGGTTGTATTTCTATGTATAACGTTAGATGCTAAATTGCAATGGAGTCCACATATAAGTAAGTTATCAAAACGGCTCAGCTCTGGAGTGTACGCGATTAAAAAAATACGGAAACCTTCAGATGTCGAAATCGCTAGATTGGTTTACTTCAGCTACTTTTACAGTCTAATAACAAACGGCATTTTGCTTTGGGGTAATGCCGCCAATGTCAATAGAATTTTTGTCCTGCAGAAACGTGCGGTTAGGGCAACTTACAATCTGGGCCCCAGAGAATCTTTGAGAGATAAGTTTAAGGAAATTAATATTCTTACACTAGCGTCACAGTCCATCTATGAGAATGTAATTTATGTTAAGAGGAATAGTAATCTCTTTATTAAAAATAGTGACAGACATAACATTAATACGAGGAATAAAACTAAACTAGCTGTTCTTGATAGTCGTCTTCACAAAGTGACAAATTCATTTAAGGGGCATTATACGCTTCTATAACAAGATTCCGGTTGATATACAAAATTAGCCATTCACGAGGTCTAAACTATAGTGAAACAAAAACTTTATACTAAAGGTTATTATACAACTTCTGCGTACTTGGATGACAAAAAATCGTGGTAGTAACCCGTTTAGCTCAGGAGTAGTCTCGATCTCTGATGTTTGAACGAAAAAAAATATATATTGTAAATGTTGAATGCGTACAAATGTTATTTATAAAGAGCAACCCCTAGAGTTTCTTGCTCATTCTTCTCAGGGAAATCTGCCTTACGAATGAGCGGTAGAGTTTAACCAATGTGACGATTTCAAGTGTAATAATGCTTACCTATGAAATAAAGATTATTTTGATTTTGATTTTGCGACAGTCACGACATAATGGGAACGCGCCCTAAGGTGTTCGACTCAGTAGTATGTATGAGTATGTCATCATTATCACCGAAGAAACAAATAACAGTAGTAATTTTTCTCTTAATATAGTATTTTTATTAAAACGAAGAAAGTTCAATAGAATTTTTTAAATAATGCGTTTTCGTTTTTTTTATTGGCCTATGTCAAGACAGAGTGGACGAAAAATTCTGGATAACGACTTACATACTAACTTTGATTAGATTACCTTGTGTTAAGATTCGCTGCGAGCTTTGCCTCCAAGTCGTTGGACATCCGACGGCTGTTAGGTTGGGAATGTGAGTGAGACATCAGGGGTTCTGTGTTCGGACTCAACATAGCGTTCGTACGTTCGCGTAGACGTGTAATGTCCGAGTGCGAAGATTCATCGCTATAGGAAAATAACAATTTAAAATAATAATTCATAGCGTTCACAGTGCCTTTGGAAAATTAAAGTTTTTTATGCTGGACAGCAAAAATTGTCATCATAACCAATCCATTTATAAGTCCCACTGTCGGGCACGGGTCTCCTCTCAGGCGATGGTTTAGGCCGTAGTCCGCCACGCTGGCCCAATACGGGTTGGGAACTTTACACGTTTTGTAAGGGTTGTGAACCGAAAAGCTCATGGTAAATTTAAAATTAAATTTCGCATATAAATTCCAAAAAACCCACAGGTGTGAGTCAGGATTTGAGCCCACGGCCTCTGCTTGAGATGCGTTATGATGAAATTGTGTGTTTGGCTTATAATTAATTTAATATGGTCAGGTGAGGCTAAAATGGCATGCTACCCGTAACAAATACACACCGAATTAATGAAAACCGAAGTGCCTACCATACTTCATTACGATTTATATTTCTCTTTTAAATACTCGTATAATGTCAAATCACAAAAAGATGTTGGTATTGCCGGTAATAATGTTGTAATAACGTAGGCATACTTTGAAGTCTAGATAAAACGATAAACGAAATAAATTTAACTTTTATAAACTGAACTTTAATAGTTTCTTCTAACTATTAAGTATTGTTCAGTCAATCTGCAATATAATTTATAGAGATATCGTGGATTCACACGTTTAAACAATAATATAATACAAGAAAAATGCATGACAATTCGATTATACGTACTAACGTCTTCAGGTACTTGCTATATTGTAAAAGCTCGCATTCTCAGAAGGTGCATCGCACTGCACAATACAGTCTGTCAAACATTATAAATATTGTCAAAGCTTTCCAAGTATGCATCTAAATCCAGGAGGATTTAGATGCATACTTGGAAAAAAATAAAAGCATACACAAAGGATTGTGTATGCTTTTATATAGCACGGTATTTCGTAGCGCACGCTTCATATTGATCACAAAGTTAAGGATTATTTTTAAATACTAGCAGATTGATGTGGAATGATATATTGAGATACAAAATAAGGGGTTCATCAATATTTTAGGTCAAAATGAGAATGAAATATCTAAACATTTATACACAAACAGTCATAGTTTATTTGTATGCAATCAGAATCAAGTAATTTGTCGACTTGCTGTGTTTGTTAGCGAGTGAAATAATTGTATTAATGACTCGATATCTGCGGAATTTAATAAAGCAATATAATGAGAAAGATTTTCCATTTATTTATTTAGTTCAAAATACAAATTCCTTAACTTTCAATTAACAACAGTTTTTTTGAAGATTTAAGTATATCGAGGTTTTTGCGATTGTTACACATTGGAAATAATTTTTTTTTAATAATGTGCAAAACAACTACATCACTTGGTCTCAAAGTAGGGAATGAGTATCAGAGCAACGGAATTCACTTTGCCGGAAGTGAAGAACAGGGGCAATTCGCAGAACACTAGACCAGAAAGAATTTAGAAAAGTTCATTTCATTTCCAAATTGTTCCTACCGGGAATTGATCAATGGATCTCCTCATCCCGTGCCCATAATGCAAATAGTTGGGCCTCAGAGGTCGTCAAGTTGCATTTACAAGATTTAAGAAATTCTTTTTCAATTTAATTATGTTATCTATTTTATAATTACGCACATAATTATGATGATTACAAAATAAACAAAACGGAACAGGTTAGGAAACAATGCAATATGTGAATATGTGAACCAATATTTGAAGAATGGTGCCGGTATCGAACCAGGAGAGCAGATTGAGCGCGAAATCTCCTAAATGTGCATCCGTCCGCCGGAAATGTCATCCTAAGCTGCCTTCCACCACCTCACACCTTTTGAATAACAAAATATTACTTTATGCCTCTTCTCTATTGTGAATTCCCAAGCTATTCAAATACAGATTCATAGAAATATGTATTTCTCTTATAAACCAGGCGAAATATTCAAATCCTATTCCCAGTTCTGTAAGTTCACTATGATTAGCGTAGTATTTAATTTTGTTATAAAATGTTGTATTTTTTAATCAATATATTTTTTTATAATAAAAGATAAGACTGAGTTAGCGCGCAAAAGAAAGTACGTTTAAATGAAACTTTAATTAAAACAAGCGCTTTTGTTTAGATTAACTGTCTGCTCAAACGCACAGACGTAATTTCCTGCATCACTTAGAAAATGAAATTTAAAATATTATTTACTCTTTTGAAATACGTATACTTATTACAAACTTACAGTAAACGATGTTCATTGCAATGAAATAGAGGAATAAGTGTGATAATTACTTATAACAAATAGACTATAATAATAAAGTGTACGCAAAATGACCTAAATTATAATTTAAGAGTAACGTAATTTTTTTTACATAGTATTTATTATTAAATGCATTTGGAGATGGGCACATGATATAAGCAATCTAGTTTAATTTTTTCTTTAAACCTCCTAATACCCAGCAAAATACAATGTGAAAAATGCTAAACGCGCAATGTACTCTATCATTATAAAGCTTGCTTGGGCCTTAAGCATGTAATTGTATTTAGTACATTTTACAAAATACAATTACATGCTTCAGGCCCAAGCAAGCTTTATATAAAAAAAACATATTTTTCTAGATACTCTATGAACATATGGAATAATATACAGCGATAAATTTGAATGTAGTGTTTAAATTTATGATGTAAGCCGGGCGTTTACGTGATCATAGGAATAATATTGTGTGGGTCTGAATCACTTCATATATTATGTATATTTTGATGTCCACGGGGCTTTAGGAAGTTAAAGATGATTTGCTCTTTACTTGCTAAATATTTACTCATAATGATATAATAATTACTACTACTAAATAATGATTACTATATAATGATATGATTAAAGAGCTTTATAGGCCTGTGAGTACAATGTTATTAAATATATGCATCTAAATCTTTATATGTTTAAAATACACTAAATAAATTCTACATAATTTAAAGTGAAGTACATGTTTTTTCATAAGCAACACTCGAGTCCTTGGTTAATCCATACCTGTCGCTGTCATTTTCCTCGTGCACAGTGTCCATATCTGTGATGGTGACAGACGGGCGCAAGTCACTGGCTTCACTCAATGTCACCACCGTGGCTCGCTTGCTCGAACTCATCTAAACACATGTACACACATTATCGCTTGTTAGCGACAAATAACCTCAAAATTCAACAAAACACGACCTTGAATTACACCATTCTCGAAAACCACTGCAAATCCATTTACCATTTTTATTGTTTATTTGTTAACTATACTTAACGCTAATACGACAAAATTATTGTATCACCTACAAAGTTTACGTAAGTAGCTTAATTTTTTTTAATAATATCAAGTGACGGGACGAATAAGTGTAAGCTACACGCCTGTCCATAAACAGTTGCAGTGCCACTCAGAGTTTTAAATCGCAGAGATCTGAGGGATATCGCTACTGCGCCCGTCACCCTTGGACATTAGTTGACAAATCCCATGTAATATCACATTATCGCTTGGCGGTAAAAATACGCAAGGTGGTAGTACTACCTTAGATCAATACAATAAGGAACTCTATTGATACAAATTTGACAACAAATATGTTAAGAGTTTTCTAAACACAATATTTTCAAACTATTTTTTGTTATTAAAACTATCATATAGTTGTCTAAGAACCGAAGGTTTAGAAAATTGAAGAGTTTAAACCTACCTGTTTATCAAATGTTTGTTAGATTTTTTCCTGGAATATTTTTTCATTGCCGTAATCTTCGACACGGCAGTGGGGCGTTCAGCGTAGGTAATTGAATTGACACGGTACATCCAAATTTCTCGAAGCGAATGTTTTTATTTTATTCAGTCATTTTTTATTCGGGACTAGTGGGCGATACGTTGCTATGACACGCGCCCTCCTTAGCGGCTGACTCACACTAACCGCGTTTGCTTTTGTTTGGTAACGACATACGTGACATACTGTCTGCATGTTATATTACGTACTCTATCAGATAATCCTTTAATGTCTGTTTGCTCAGTTCGAGGGTTTGTCCCACTTGAGTGGGATACTTCAAGTTGTCAATGAGCTGATTAAATTGAAATGTGTATATTACAGTGCTCAACGCCGCCGGCAGGCACATAAATTAAGTATTTCAAGGCGTCATATCTTATGTTACCGTTTCAAATATGTAATGTTCTAATCTAATCTATAACCCTATATATGTATGCTATTTAATGTTTAACATAAAAATAAAATGACTCACTTGCTTTGACTTACGTTGACACTGCAGTGTTTGGAAGAGGTATGAAGCATGCAGACACATCGTTGATAATCGGTAGACTTTACGAGTTGGAGCAACAAGTTTCGATGCTTCCCTATTTTGATGCATAAGTACTCAATGTGTCTTTTTGTTTCTTTTGTAAAATATCCACTCCAGGTAAATTAAACTGTTTCTTTCTCAGAGGTGAACAAACTTATTAAAAACATTAAGTCTCATCTACGCGATTGTCGTAGGTATTGAGACTACTCTACATGAAAGAGTTCGTCCAGGGAAGTACTGCCGTAACCTTACCTATTTCTGCTGCCAAGCAGTAATGTGAGCGTTACTGCGTTCCGGATTTGATGGGTAGAGATGTTGGTGAAATTACAGGCACATGCGACTTGCCAACTTAGGTCCCAGAGTGACGCGCGCAGTCGCAGTGCCCTTTCGATCTTTGCGGTTTAAAGCTCTGAGTGGCACTGCAACTGTTATGATCAGGTGTGTCGCTTACCACCAGGCTCATGACTTATTCGTCCTGTCACTTAGTATTATAAAAAAAATAGTGTCGTACATCATTAACTTTGCCATTATTTATATATTTATTTTTTACATACAATCTCTTGTCTCTGTACAGATTTAATTAGATGATTTTTTTTGCAGTAAACACCGTTGTGCCATGAGTGTTTACTGCTTTTCGTGTGATCAAAGACTGGAAACAGAACATATAAGTAGATAATGATCTATTCATATTTAAGAAGTAAGACGAAACAGTAGGTAGGTAAGTTTGTTTGTGTTGTGTCCGCCGGGCGGTCCGCTCTAAGGTGGTTAGGTTGTTGAATAAGTTTCTGAATTAAGAGAACTGAAAGTTTTCTCATCTCGAGATTACAGCAAAGTGTTTACCGTTTGGCTGTGGATGCGGCCACGACGCGACGCCCAACCCTAGTCATGTCGACGTTGTGCTCGATAAAGGATAATTTATTTTTTAATTGCTTTTTCACGCTCCGAGACCAATTAGAATAATTCAATTTTAAACTTTGTTTTCTTGTGTGCTTAATCAGTTTCTTAATGACTAGTTTGTTGAGCCGAGAAGAAATATTGCGTATGTAAAGTATATATGTTAAGTTATTTGAGATAAAGTAA